TGTGGAGGGATACCAGTCTTTTTTTACCTTTTTTTCCAAACCACAGCTGGATATATATATATATACATATATATATATATATATATAATATCAGCATTGAGGTTTTATTGGTCTTTCTAATCTTTACGGTTACAGTAAGACCTCTTGTCAGACTTGCTCGGTGTGGACAGATGAAATGCTGTTGTTAATTTTTCATACTATAAATTTATCTTCTTTTACCTTTTTTTCCAAACCACAGCTGGAGAATGGCCCTCATGCACCAGTGTACCATCTCCTCAACCTCTTTGCCTATGGAACCTACTGCGACTACAAAGGTATTGCAGTGGCAGCACTATGTAAATAAGTAATAGAGTATCCCTGCAACTCTTTTATTGAGCTGTATTTCTTTGCAGCAAGGCAGGCACCTCAACACAGAGGCTTTAAACAATCTCACACGAGTCATGACAGGCAGTTTAATAACCGAAAAAGATTTTCGTCGCTCTTTCGTTTTTGTCCAGTTTTTTTCCAAGCGTTCTTAATTTCCTATGTTGTTTCTCACCTCAACACAGGCACAAATAGTTGATAAACCAATCTTTTGTGACTTAATTTGTCCTCTGTGTAACACATCAGGAAGCTTAAACAAGAAATATAATGTTGATTATGTTTAATTAAATACTGAACGCTAACCAATAACGTAGAAAAACGACACGGTCCAGTTTAATGCTCCCCTCCCTTCTGGAGTGTATTCATGTTGAGATTTCTGTCATGAAGTCCTTTGACGAGCTGTCAGAGCTGCTGTCTCATGAGGGTCTGAGTCCTGTCACCTGGGGAGCCAGCCTGCCGAGACGTGGTCAATGGACACAAACTTGCTCCCCAACTTTCTCCAGACTTTGTTCTTTGACTGCTTAAATAGCTCAACCCCTCACCTGAAAACCACTCTGTAACAGTACATTTGAAACGTATTAAATTACCTAAACTATTTTTGTCCGTTAAGACTTCAGAAAAAAATGACACCTACTTACAAAATGGCATTTACTGTTGAGGCCAATTTAATGTCTGGTTGCAAATGATAAAAAGCTTCTGTCAGAGTGTCCTGTTTTTGCTGGTTTGATTCCAAAACGGCACTGATGCACAAACCGGTGCAACTTCTTTGTTTTACGCAAGCGTTTCAAAATTCAACTTCTTCAAATTGTTATTTTTATGGTTTAGACTCACCGGAGAAGTAAAAAAAAGCAATTACAGGCAAACGCAGAGGGGGGAAAAGAATCACCCATCATCTACTGTGTAATGTGTGAACGCAGTGCCTGGCAAAGAAAAAGTCACTAAGACCACCTTTGACATTAATTAAGTCACACAATCTTCTTGGCATTGTTCCAGTAAGCTAATGCAATGTCAGAAACAACCTTGTCAAAAATAGCAATTAATCTCTTAATTATATTTGAGATAACTGCGATAATTTCTACATGATTGTCTTGTGTCAACATTGGCCGAACAAGGTGGATAATGCTAACCGTAACATTATTGACTGATAGAGTTTAGACCTTTTACTGAGACATCGTTATCTGCTGCTGTGCACGTATTGTTTTTGACAACTAGTCTTTCTTTTTATAACTAATCACAAACAAGCACCGTTTTTAGTTTATATTCTCGTATTCAAATTAAAATAAAGAATAAATGTATTTATCCAAGAATTAGGTGAATTAACAAATATTTGTAATATTATTGTACATGAACATTATTAGAGAAAAATAAATTATTAGCAGTTATTTATATGGAAAATTATCCAATAAATTTTGTTTAGACAGCCACATACCACAACATTTATTTCCTGCCAGGATAAATCACATGTAGGGAAGTCGGTGCATCACGGCGTCCTTGTCGGTTAGTGATGTATTTCTCTGAACTTAGACAACGCTGGTTAAAATATGGACTATAACCTTCTAGCTATTGATTATACCGTGTTCAATAAAACAACAAAACAAAAAAAATAGGCAAACATAAAGTCGAGAACTAAAATAAAGACCTATAAAATGTTTATTTGAGGGGTTTGCTTGACTTACAATTAGATTTTGTGCAGTTTGTTCAAAATAATTACATAAATGAATCAACATGGTTACTTGTTTGTCTGAAATTTGTAATTTATGCAGAAATGTATATTTTTTCCCCTCACACACCTACTTGTGTTTTACCATCCCTGTGCATCCTCAACAAAGTTACTTTCAGCCATGTCAAGTGCAAACGTTGAGATGCTTTTGATATTGTAATGACACAATAATAAATGGTAATAGTTTGTAGGAGCAAGACTTGATAGATTAGTTTGTGCAGTTTATATAATTAATCCCTCCAAATTACACTCTAAAAAAGAAATTGTCATAAATACATGCCCATCAGGGACAGGCGTCACAATCACTACATTTTTCAGGTATAAATATTGGCTCGACAGGATTATTATTATTGACTATCAAACGTTTATGTTAAATTCACTTTTCAATAAGTACAAAATATCAGTAAATCTGGGTTTTTAACGTCACCCTCCTAATCCAAAAAAGTTAAGTCAGGTCCTCTGGATAGATTTTTCTTGAAACGTTTCGTCTTCCATCCAAAAGACTTCATCAGTTTGAGGCCATGCAGTCATCAGTCCTATAAATAGCATCTTCTCAAAGTGGATAAACCAGTTTGTTGGGGATATCCAGAACTAGCTTTTCACAAGTAAAAGGAGGACCATCAGTCTAACAAGCAATGGTTAGTGCTCTGATGGCCGCTTGCTATTTCCAGAACTAGCCTGAGGAAAACCTTGCCAAAGTGGTTCAAAATATCCTGATGCATGCTCAATCATCCAGGTAAATAAATCCAAAAACTTTAAGTCAGGTCACCTGGACAAATTCTTCTTGGTTGAATCATTAACGTCTTTCATCCGAAATACTTCATCAGTCATCCGTCCCGATGATTAACCTTTTTTGGATTTATTTACCGATGATTGAGCATGCATAATGTTTGGTGTTTTGTCTTATTTACTGATTATTATTATGTTTTGCTTCAGAGAGAGCAGCCTCACTTCCAGAGTTGACCCCAGCACAAAGAAACAAACTCCGTCATCTCTCAATTATTAGCTTGGCTTCCAACCTCAAGGTACGTGTTCATTACATTTTTTTTTTTTCAGTGTTAACATGGAAGTGCAGCTAAACTGTAATTTTGTATTGATTTTCCCCCTCCTCTCTTGGTTTTCGGTGGCTGCAGAACATAAATTTTCTGCAGCCACCACACTGCTGGAGGCTGTATACAACGCTAGCTCCTATATCACTGATATATTGACAGCTCTGCTTTTAAATACGACTTTAATATTTTATTCTGACTCAGTCAGTTTCTTTAAAGTTCATATGAAATTGCAAGTGATTGTAAGCTTGGGGCTGTATTTAAATTGACTGAATTAGAAGCAAACCAGCATATGGGCCTCAAATTTCATGAGAAATTTGTTATTCGTTTTATATTTCATTCTCACTCTTATATCGCAAGGAACTATTTTATTTCTTAAATCATAGCTCTTTGCACGTTCCAGCTACACTGCACCTTTCCTTATGCCCTTTTCTTTTTCTGCTCCTGTTAAATAATTGATTCATTATCCTCACTAACGCTGTCCTTTTCCCCCTTTTGCTTTATCTCTCTCCCCATTAACATCACTCCTTTCACTCCTGGTCCCTGTTTTGTGTCATAACTTTTCCCTGTCTCTCGTCTTGAACTCTCTAATTGCCCAGTTATGGATTGTTACCTTTCAGACTTCTTTCACGTTCCTATAGCAGTAACATTTAAACAAACGGTCATTTTTACAGTTTACATTTTCAGTCATTTTCCATCAGAAAATTTAGGCATAATCAAGACTTGAGATTATAAACAAAATTGTTTTATGTCTTTTACTTAAATGTTTTTCCACAGTGCCTGCCATATTCACTGCTCCTTCAGCAGCTCGAGCTAAAGAACGTGCGAGAATTGGAGGACCTGTTGATCGAGGCTGTCTACTGTGACATCATCCAAGGCAAACTGGACCAGAGGAACCAGCAGGTAGAGGTAGACTGCAGTGTAGGTCGTGACCTTGGCCCCAATGAGCTTCCAAACATAATCAACACGCTGCAGGAGTGGTGAGTGTCACTTATGTATATCCATATGCAAGCTGTATTCCAGTTTTCCCAGTCTTAGTCTACCTCCACCTTCATCTCTGGCTCTCAGGTGTACGGGGTGTGAGGCAGTCTTGTGTGGTATCGAGGAGCAGGTCTCCAGGGCAAACCAGTACAGAGAGAACCAACTAAAAGTCAAAGTCCAAGTGGAAACTGAGGTTGGTTCTTCATCTTATGAGTCATAAATGTCTCTTTCTTCCTCAGCATTTTGTTGATTTTTTTTTCTCTTCTGGTTTTCTGTATTATTTCAGTTTAATTTCCTCCTAACTGCATAGTTCAATTCTCATCTCATCTGCAAGCTATAATAATTTCCCCTGATTACACTGGCTTCAAGATTTATTGCACTTTCAGTAACAATGATGCGAGACGATGCCCATCTCTAAGAAACTTAATAATTTGTAGTAAAAGATTTGTAGCCATAATTCAGTTCCGATTTTCATATAGCAACAATTCACAACAAGTCACCTTAGAGCACAATACAGAAGAAAATGCACGTTCAAATCATAAATCCAATTCAGATCCAGATTAATTCGTAATGTAAAACAATACATTCACATACATTACATTATGAATGAATGCTTAATTTATCCAAGAGAAAATAATTACCGGTATTTTAAATTGTTTTTAAAGCCAGCAGATTGTATCAAATCTTCATTTCTCTGCGCCCCACAGTGCATATTTCTCATATTTCCTAATGCCAGCACTGCAGGCAGACGGCCAGCTGCTGTCAGTCAACACAAACACTGACATACAGCTCTGTTATTAGGATTAGTTCCAGATTTAACAGCAAATGCAGTGGTGGGGTTTGATTGATACACTTGTTTTATGTTCGACAAATTCATCTATCAAGACATCAACCTGAATTCCTACATTATTTTGTGCTTTTAAAAAAATCTGTCAGCTGACTTTGAAATAAAATGCTGTCATGCTGCCTTACTGACCCACATCAGTACCGTAAAAACTTATATACAAGTCAGTTGCCAGAAAAGTCCTTGTTTTATTTTATTCACTAAATTAACAGCCTTTCACCTACGATTTTGCCGACTGTGGAGTGAAGGTGTAGCTGTTGGTGATTAGAGCTCAAACTGTAGTTCCAAGCACTCCGACTCCTGTTGAAGTACAGTTGTTTGTCTTTAGCTATAAAAGTTGGTCTTTTTTTTCTTCTGATTTAAAGGACAAAGTTAAGAGCTTCTCCACCTTAAATTGACTGGCTGTATTCCATATGGCTGCAGACTTGAGGCCGGGATGAAAAGGGCTGTTTGTTTCAGATGTTTTACCAAAGTAGTTCATCTTTATGAGTAAGATTATGAAGAGTTCGTTTTATACAGGGCTTGCCTTTTTGTCACTTGATAAAATCGGTTTACTCATACCTTTGCTTTCCTTCATCATAACATCTTAGGTATTATAGTGTCACTAACATAATATTGTGCCCAGCATGTAATACATGAGAGCTCTAAAGTCATGTTTTTGGAGTCCCAACCCATTTAACACAACATAATGGCATGTGCATGCTGCTTTATTTTATTAAGGACAGAAAGTCACAAACTAATGACCATATTCAATCATTTGTGTTGACTGCAAACTTTCATTTGTTTTGTCAATGCATCAATGCAGGATCATCTGCAGTGCATTGTTTTAAATGTTAACCTTAAGAACTTTGCACAAGTTCAAGACACGCTGACAAAATTTAACTGAACCTGTTGTCTGTTAGTGAACAGATTTAATGTGCTACAATGAGGGCTTTTTAAAAATATTTAGATGGTTGATACACAATTTAAAAAAAAAAAGTCCTTCACGTGTGTCCCACAGATCATTGCTGTTCATCGGTCAGTGACTTGAATGTTGGAAAGTAAGCGTCTAAAACATGAAGTTTTAAACTTTCTTTTTTTCCACGTCAGGTCTCAAACTTACAAAAAACGTTAAAGGCCAGCGCTGCGTCTCCGTCGTCAGGCCCCGCCCCTGCTGGAGCCGCTTCCAATCAGGATGCAGACCAGGCAGCTGAGCCACGAGACCCCGCCTCCTCTCAGGAACCACGACAACCAGGCAAAAAAGCTTCAAAGGTGAAAGGGTGAGTTCAGTCACGTCACCTTTCCAATTTTGTGGTCACACACAGGTGGCAGCCGGATATTTCATAAATACAAATGAAGCACTCTGGGAAAGCTGGCTGTTGCAGCTTTTTATTTTTTTTATTTTTTAGCTGCGACTATCAGGCATTTGAATAGAAATTGCATTGTGTTTTGAGGCTAAAATTGTCACAAATTGTTACATGTGTGGCCACGTAACGTAAAATAAATTACCGAATTCAAGGTTTATTCAGAGCCCTCCCCACAGATGTTTTCTTTAAAATGAAGGTTGTGCTCCGTTTTATTTTTCATTTGTCAAGAAAGAAATGTTCATTACTACAAGTCAAAGTATAAGAACACAAAGCTGCAAAGAGCAGCTTTTTTTCGACATTAATTTTCTCTTATTGCCATTTTTATTTTTGTTCTATAAGGTACTTGTGAGTTTTGCAAACTTCTTTGTAAATTTGAATTTCCCTTTCTTACGTTTGCACAATAAAGGCTGTTTCAAACTTTAAATTATTGCCATTAGTCCAGTGTTTTTGTAGAGAGCAAAAGTTAATACCCCGGAGAAACACTGTGTTTCTATTTTTTCAGTAAACGGTATTAAGTGAGCTGTTTGTTAAAGTATTTTGTCTGTCTTTGAGAGAATGTGTCTGCATGAACTAGTTTCATTATGAGATACACAGCAGTGTTTTGGGGCAGTGCTATAACCCTGCTTAATAAATACTTTCTTCTGTTTTGCCTCCATCCAGCCTTATTTCCGATGGCTAGTTTCACATCCCTCCTGAATTGTAAAATGTCACTGGATACATGATTGCCCTGCATGCTTGCTTCCTGAAAGAACCGTTCCCCCCTCTGGTGATGAACAGAGATGTTTCAAGTGTCTGCTGTTTATGTTTTCCTGCTGAACAGAAAGCAGTGATTATTTTCTGGCTGCCTGTCAAAGTTTGAAGTGTAGAGCCCCATAATTTTCATCATTCAGCACCGTGCTTCATTCCAATGAAGATCCACTCAATGTTTTCACATCCAAATTGATGATAGCTTAACCTCAATCCTCAAAATAAGTTTTGACACAATTCCCTTATAAAGCTATTTAAAGGATGGGTTTGATAACACAGCAGTTATATTTAGAAACAGTTTGCCAGAATGTCCTTTAATTTACAGAAATAGAAAATCTACTCAAATCAGTTCCAGATTAAGAATTTTGAAATATTTTAAGACAGACTTTGCATCCAGGTTGCATCAGTGATGTGTGTGCAAATGTTTTTTTTTTCCCCTCAGTAAAACATGCAGAAAGTATAGACTAATTAAAATAAGTCTTAAATAAAGCATCAATTCAGTGTTTTTATTGGCTGTATTCCAAACAGGCTGCGAGGCAGTGGGAAGATCTGGTCCAAGTCCAACTGAGGACAAAAGATTAAGGTGCGAGGACAGCAGCACTCTTGGACGCTTTCTAATTTACGGACACATTGGCATGTTGACGGACAGACAGACACTTTAAACAATGTGACCACTCATGGATACCCTCCTCACTTATACTTCTGCAGTACAACCACAAAGCTTCACTGGGACTTCAATCACCAGATCTAACCTTTCTGGATTCAGAAATACACACCTGGCTGATGGATAAAACCTGTGACTTTCACTCTTGCATCTGTCAAAAGCCAGGCAGGCAGACTGTGGGTGTAAATACACAGAGCACTTGTAAGATGTGAGGACACAATAGTCTGCAGCAGGAGTCGGTTGCCTTTGACCAGAAACAAAATCAGTGTATTTGAGGCATTTGTTTGTGTGCATCTCTGTTATTATTATTATTTTTTTTTGGTTTAGATGAATTCTGTGTTGCTTTAACTTTTTGTTTTGTTTTATTCTCTCTCTGCTGAGTTGAGACTTGTATAAAATCAGAATCTAAACTGTTGGAAAAAAATAAAAGGAAAAAAAAAAGAAGCCGTGTACTTATCTTGACTGCCTTATTAATGTCAGTGCCACTTCTTTTATTAAATGCACTTCAGAGTGCATCTCTGGAGGGTGCACTACTAAATGTTAACTCGCAGAAGGGGGCTACCCGTTAGGAGGTCAAATCATTAATTAGGGCACGTCCCCGAAGAGATTAATGCATTATAGAGCAGAGGCTTTCCCTGTGCACTAACGGCTCGACTAGACACATGCTCATGTGCGGTGGGGGCATTGGTATTTCATATGGGTATGTTTCGCCCTGAGCTTCTATTTCAGTGTCAGAATTGCCTGCCACTCTTCCATGTACCTCCATTACTATCAAAATTGCCTTCATCGTGCTTGCCATGTCCATTTTTCACTCCTCAGGTTCTGTTTCCTCTAATTTCTCCACTTCCTTCCTGACATTAATGGTGGCAATTAGATGACCAGCAGTGATAGTGACAAGCAAACAGACAGGAAAATTATCCTGTTTCATTTAACCCTGCATCTTTCTAAACTACCCCCTCTAACATTCATCTTCACCTCTAGAAATAGAGGTGTTAATTTCAGTCAGCGTGTGGCGCTTCATTTTTTTTTGACAAAATTGAAGCTGTGACTTCAAGCAGCTGCACACCTCAGAGTGTTAGGGAGTGAACGAGGGCTTGTTGAAGAGCCGCTCTGACCACACGACCTCTGCATCTATCAGTTCACAACTTCTGAATTAGTTGTCTATCGTAGTTACAGATTGCTGCAGCATCTGCCGCTGTGTGTGTCATACAGCCATTAAAACCTCCTAGTGGAATCCAGCCAATCAATTACCCTGATTGATCAGTAAAATGCCCAGAGGAGATGGAAACACTAGCTGCACATCCGACTGGTGGAGAATCACCAAACACTCGAGTGGCATTTCTCTTCTTGTGCCCGCCTTGATTTTATTGACATTTGTTTGAAAAACTATACACAGAGGAAATTCTTGCTTAGCATCCCTGTTAATCTTTCTAAAGCGAGAGGAATCCATATGAGGTGAGGAGATAAGCAAACAGCTTCAGACACAAGCAGCCGCATTCTTCTTCGCTCCTTTTCAGCTTCTTCTCAGTGGTGAAAACGTGATTGGCACATGCAGGACTTTTTAATGCCAAGTCTGTGGTTTAAAATCAATGCAAGGCAGTGGACTGAATGTTCACATCAGGGAGAGACAGATTAGGATACACGGGTATCTATTAAAATGCACAGTGTAAGCTTTATCCTTCCCATAAAGCATTGCGGATTGCACCGTTCCCAGGGGGAATGCATTCAACATGCACTGATATAAACAGACACAAAGCTAAAACGTCAGTATCAAGTCTTTATTTTAGTTCCATGGTACAGAAAAGACCACATTTCTACAGGAATGCTACTAAAATCACAAGACTGGATAGCTGAAGGATTGAAGCTACCATGATGCCACCAGCACAATGTCAAAAGTTGAATGGTTTAGTTTAGTGGGCAGTTCATGTGACAAAGCTGCTTAGAAAAGTAGCCAAAAATTGATATTTAGCTTTGAAAAATTCTGAAATACAATACTCAGTGATAGGTAAAATATATGTTTTATAAATACTTGGTTTAAAGCAGCTCTCAAGATTTTTTTTACTGACCACATGCAGACTGAGGAAACATGAGGCAATTCTTTATGTGCAACTTTCCTTTGGTGCACCCAAAACAGCTGATGATGAAGAGGAGTGATGGTTTTGTTTTCCAGATTCAGATACAAAACTGTCATCATTCATAGATATTCCTTTCCCATGAAAACATGGGGAAATGTCTTTTGTTATGTACCATCCAAACTTTACGGACGGGGGAGAAAAAAAAAGATTGAGTATGTTCAAACCGTTTGTTCTGAATATTTTATCTCGAGCCCTGGAAGTGCTCTCTGCTTGAGTCCAGCAGGAACAAAGCGTGCTTGCAAAGGTTCCACAAAGAGGTGAACGTCAGCCAGATAATTAAGAGAGCAAATCACGAAGTTGAAACCAAATGAAACGAGAGTCCTCTACATCTGCAGAGGAATGGAGCCACACTATTTGCATTTTGGGCGCCCAAAGCGGGGGAATAAACATCAGTTTTTGGAGCGTGACATGTTAAACACATTGCCTGTTGGCTACAGCCAAGCCCAAACAGCTTTGTGAAATATTCTGCTGGATGTTTGGAGATGCTGAGAATGGCTTTTTAACCATTTGCAAGCCTGCTGGAGTGTGCTGAATTTCAGTGTCATTTGATGAAAAGAACAGTGTGCTGGATGGGGTTTGTTCGAATGAGCAGCTGAGTCACTGGTTGTGGAAGCACAGGTAGGTAGGGCATCTCGGGGGTAATAGGATCTTGCATGGCTGTTAAACTGCTTGCGAGTTAGTCATGGTGGGTTGAAGCACAGAGCTGTTACGTAGCTTGGCGGAGCTCAGGGCCATACAAAGGGTGGAAAACAGCGTCACAGTGATCCACATAAAAAATAAATTTACTCCCAAGCATACAGGAGGAAAGAGAAGCAGAGATGAGCTTGGATTTTCTCAGGCCTCAGGGAAGCCAAGGAGTTTTTGCGATGGCTGGATACCTGGGTTCCCTGAATTTGTTTCACAGTTGGAGAGAAAATAAAACAGCACTGTAGGCACACACTCTGGTCATGTTGATGTTTCTCCTCAGGCCCCGTAGAAATGTTCACCACATGGAGGAAAAAAAACAGTCCCCTCACAGGTTCACAACTGGGATCCTGACACAGCAAGAGAGAGAAGAAGAGTGAGTAGGAAAAAGATAAGCCACGAAGGTGGGATAGTTTTTTTTTTTTTTTTTAGGCTTGGGAGCTGTGATGGTGGGAGAAGGGAGGAGATGAAGGAGAACAAAAGCCTGAAGCTGGTGGAGATGTTAACGGAAAGCTGGATCACAGGGGACGGAGAGATGGGAGGAAGAGGACGAAAAGCCGATGGGTGGAGGAAGTAAGAAGCAGCACTAGAGAGCTGCTCTATAATTATCCTGATTGAGATTAACTTAAAATACCCTTGAACAAAAACATCATTTCATGGGTTGAGGATAGACGCCTTTTCATGGGCCCACGATGAGTCATCTGGAGAGAGTTTTAAAACACTGATACGTCTTAGAGCGGCTCCAACACTCCAGGCCTGAATATTCTACAGAGAATAGCGTTACTGCCCAATTATACTCCGTGCACATCCTTGCAGCGCATGCAGTGTAATAAGGGTATTCGCATACAGACACACAAAGAGGCAAACTTGAATCCAGCGGCTCACACATGCACAACAAACTCATGGACCCAGACACACAAACACGCAGACTGTGCAGAGCTGTTGAGGCGACTCATTACCTCTCCCTGTCGGTGAAGGAGGAGGGGGTGCTGTGCAGCGTCTGCCTGCTGTCCTCCGAAGCAAGGGAACGAGGGAGAGCGAGGGAGAGTGGGGGGCCTACGCCACGGGAAAGCGGGGGCGGATGCTGGGAACAGCTGCGGTCGTAACTGGGAGAGAGAGATAGTAAGACGAATGGATGGAGAGGGATCAGAAGGGGGTCGGATGTGGGAAAAGGAGGAAAGAAAATGGGTCGGTGGAGAGGAAACGCAAAGATTAAAAACAGAAGGATGGTGAGCAGAGCAGATTAAGGAGTAAATTAAAAGAAAGAAACAAAGTTTGAGTCAAACATAAATAAGTAAAGGCTTCAACGAGGGGATGCACACAGAACAGATTAGGTGAAACAAGTCAGCAACAGCAGCGAACATTACTCTGCCACTGTGAAAGAGACTGCTCATTAAAACACTGAGTGGTGTAAAGGAGGCAGCACTGAGATCAGGGGAGGAGGGGTCAGAAGGATGCAACAAGGTGAAGAGATGAACAGAGGGGCTGACGTACCACCGTGGTGTCCAGGCGTTACTTCACAGAGGAGAGTGAGTTATTACAAAAGAGCAGTGAAGCATCACGAGTCAAGGCTCTTAAGGACACTTGGACACACAACAAAGCTGCTCTCAGGGCCATAAAAGCCACCCCGAACTCTCATCTTTCCTCAGTAACACCTGTCCTCTCCCGGCTCACACTTCTTCTCACAATCGTACACAAACTGCACCATGACATCCACACGGACAATTTCAGGGCTGGGAAAACACACTGAGCACATATGCTTCTGTTCTATAATCATAATGAACTGGACAGTGGCCAATTTCCACTATAGGCTATCATTTCAGTCCATCTGCACCCTCACCCCCCCTCCTCATTCACTCCACAGCTCTTTTATCCATCTAACACATGGTGTTATTTACACATTTATGACACCGAAGCACGAGCCAGTCTATAGAGAGAGCTCTGCTGCCATTTCTCCACTACGAATCCTTGCTATTCTCTCTGTTGTAACTCCACCAGTAGAGTGTTTTTCCCCCCTCCTTTCATTTTCCACGACACGGCAGGGGCTCGTGAGAAAAAGTTATCAAAACAACAGTAAGGCCAGTGTCAGGAACAGAAAGAAGAGAGGACTTCTCACGTATCCGCTCACGGCAAGCTGGAAGATTATCTGTGAATCTTCAGTCGGACTGGCAGTTCTGGGAGGGAACTAGGAGAGCGTTGTGGCAGATAAGAGACTGTGCAAAGCCAGGCAGTGTTAAAGTAAAAGAGAACACAGGTATCTCCGACAAGAGGAATAAAAAAACCCTGGGAGGCAAAGGGAAAAGGATAATACAAAGAGAAGTGGAAGGAATGTGGGAGCAAATCTCTAAAACATTGAGAGAGTATAAAAAAGGAAAATCATCAGGCAATGAAATGTAAAATTAGGATCCAATAGCCTTCGGGGGTAAGACACTCTGATAAGAGGAAGGAAAGAGCGAAAGTGTAAATGTGAGAAGTGGCTGTGAGGTGAGGGAGCAGAGGGCTCCCAGTGGTCAAATAAACTGGCTGTTATTGGTTTGATCAGCAAAGCGTGTGAGTGCTTTACTATATCACAAAGATGACTCCCCATTTCCAGATAATGGCTGTGCGTTCCTAGGATTAACCTTCCCAGCGTGCACACGTAACATATACAGATCCCCACCCTGTGTTCACCACAGTGTTTACATGCTCTGAGAGGGTTTTATGGCAGGTGGGCTGTTGAGGAACACTCACACTGATGCTTGAGCTTGTAAAGTGCCCCCACCCCCCAGTCCTAATGATTATGGCAAATGTTTAATCATTGCAACACTAATGGCTCTAAATGACACATCTGTGCCAACTGTGACTTTCAGGAACGCAAGTGTTGTTAATAAAGTCATTAGTAAGCAATTACTCAGCTTTCACTTGAGGGGGGGACCCACATAAGATCATTACGTAATCATCAACGACAGACGAACAAGCCCAACATGAACCCATCATCCTTAATGATCCCAATACCTGAAGCCTAAACATTTATCTGGAGGTAAAATTCCCCAAATTTCTCTCATTTTGTTCTCAACAGATTTAAACAAAAGCAGCTTAGCAGAGCTCTTAATTCTTGACAGTCCTTTTTTAAACAGAACTCGCATGCAAATCACTCTCTTTCCCCTACCTCCCCCTAGGTTGTTAGGGTCTTAGTGAGCCTGGTGCACATGCAAGATGTCTCACTTTATTACACAAAGATCCGTTTTTTTCCACAGCTCTTGAATCCAAGTGCTACTGAAAACCAAAATATGTTCACTTCGACTAGTTCATCAGAACCTAATGAGTCCATTTGAGTCATTTTATATTAATGATGTGCAATTATGCCTATAATTAACAAGATAAAAGCTTGGGAAAAGATATCCTATTTTAAATAGCACAGTTATGTTTTATTAATTTCAGAACTCCTAAAGTTTATCTTCCAACTCCTCAGCAGAGCCCTAATCTCCACTCTGGGAACTCTAAGTGACCTCAATACATCCCTGCTTTAATAGAAGTTGCCATTAATAACAGAAAGGTCTATAAAATAAGTTTTACATCATGCACCTAATTTATCCTTCCCACTTTTTTTTACTACTCACACTTTCACCATGTTACCGAAAGCATATTGTGTTAAAAGTTCTTACTGATCTGATGTTGCCACAGAAAGCCCCGAGGTGTTTTTGTCCCGAGCAGCAGTTAGCATCGACCTGCTGTGAGACAGGTGTCCAGCTCTCACAGGTAGACCCGGCTAATCTGTCGCCTTTATATTCATGTATTCAAACCGAACAGTTTGAAGGAGAGTGTGTTCAGGATCCTACCAGAGTTTGGCTGTAATGACGACTGCTGTCAGGATAAGCAGAGAGGAGATGGTCACGGTGACGTAGAACTGAGGGTCAACTGTAAAACACACACACACACGGTTGGTCAACTCTGTCATCACTGTATTCAGAACAAGAAAAATAAAATCAATGAAGACAGCTGAGACATGAAATTAGATGTGAAATATTTTGCCCGCCAACCACAACACCAATCCACTGACGTCTTTAGTCTTTTTTGCAGTTTTGACATCAGCCAAATTTTCCCTGTGAGTGATGAAAACTTTATTAGGCATACCCCGCCACTGACACAGCTGGCTGCACACAAGAGGGTGTCAGCCTTCACCCTGGTGACAGCTAATTCCCTGGAGGACTCCTGGCGAGTGTGTGCTCACTCAGCTCCACCTTTATTTAGAAATCCTTCATGCGGATCTCCTGATGCCCACCTTCCTCGGGCTCTGTCTCCTCCGCCTTCGCCCCTCCATCCTCCACTCCCTCCTGGTTCCTGGACTCCTGCGGTGCCTTCTCCTGGGGCTGCACGCTTGAATCATGATAAAGCCAGTCCTCGGATGTGGCGGTGCTGACCCCCTGCTGGTTCCCGTGAAGGCGCAGGTGGTCGGTTTCCTGGCTGGAGAGAAAGTGGTAGGTCTCATCCTCCAGTGGCTGAGTGGGACCCCACACCACCGCCCACAGAGGAGTGGGTGTGACCTGGGACGTGACAGACAACTGGACCGATAGGGCGTCCACCTGCTCTTCACCCTCACTGTCGTCACGGTTACAGGTGGAGGGCTGTGAGACCAGAGCAACCAGGAGGAGGGAGATGAGGGCAGGGAGTCGTGCGACAGGAGAGATGGAGCTTTAAAAACAGAAAGGAAGAGAACGAATGAGAGGTGTTGAAGTGACAAAGGACTTATCAGAGAAAACCCATTGCCCAGAGGCACCCTGCACAACCTCAGCAGCTCAGACATTGATTTCCATGCCAGCCATCAATCAGAATGACATTTTATGCATCTGCATCCCATACTCCGAAACTATCCATCTTACCATCTCTCCATCGCTTCGCTCTGTTCACTGAGACTCCTCTTCTCCGATCATCTCTGTAAGATGAGAGGAAAAGATAGATAGAAGAGGGGAGGGTCCTAGTTGTAAACAAACAGCAGGATTAATGGCTCAAAGCAAACTTTCTCTCTTTTGTTCTTTTTCTTTTAACGATAATAATAAAAAATGCTCCCCAGGGAAGCTAAATTTAACACTCGGCTATGAGCCACACGTTTGCAGAAAATGCACTCCTGCATGCAAAAACATCCAAAAGTCTGCACTCGACTGCTCTGCTCTCACTTCACACAATTAGAGCACACACACCTGAGAAGAGCACATTAATCACTATTACGAGCATCATGCACAAAGCCAGCACTCAGTGTGGCACTTTGAGCAGACAGAGATAACTTCCATCAACTGCTGCCCAAAACGCAACAGAAACGTCACTTAGACTCGCATGCAGACCGGGAGTCGGACACAAGCAGTCCGACACATCTCAGTTATCGTGCTTACCTCTGGCAGCGGAGAGAGAGAATGAGAGAAACGAGGGGAGATACGGAAAGCAAGTGAGGAGAGAGGGGGGAAAAGCATCGGTTGCCGTAGCGACCGAAACATGTAGAGGCGGCCTGAGTTAGAGTGGGGAGAGAGAACGATGTAGAGGAGGGCAACAGACTGTAGGAAAGAGATTTAAATGCTAATTATGTTTTTTCTTAAATGGGTTTAATTAAACGGACACAGAAGAGAAATGAATTTGACGAGGCAAACAGAAATGATACCAAGGACGACATTAATGAGATGATTTTAGAGATGAGAGCTTAAATAGAAGAAAAAAACAACTTCCATGTTTATGAAGGCGAGCAAGGACACCCCAGAGACAACGAGACAGCAGAGGAGGAGAAAAGAATGATCAGAAAAAGAGAAGGAGGAAAATTTAATTCTTGTTCATTTAATCCGGTTACTCCGACAGAGTGAAGGGACGAACTGGTGTGTCGAGGAGAGGCAGGGTCACGGAGAAATGGAAAAAAAAATACAAGAGATGCAAATCTGAAGTCACAGTTTGACGGCTTTATTGAATGTGAAAATATTTACATAGAAAACAATCTGCCGATCACATCCAGTCGCACCAACAGCCTCTCTCTGTCCATATGCTCCCCCCTCCCAGACTAACACTCAGTCTGTCACTTCACCCTCCTTCCGAGTCTCTGCTCTGCCACCCTCTCATTTCCTCCTCATGGCTGCAGGCCGTGCAGCAGGAGAGACCGCCGCTCACTGAAGAACACATCGCAACCACGAGCCGGACCCCCCGTCCTCCGCACCGTCAGGCCCCCTGTCATCTCCTTCGCCTGGATTATCCTCGTCATCTAAATTACACAAGATTTCCACAGGGATTTGTCACGACACTTATCTTGACGCCGCTAATTTCTGCGATTGCTCATTAAAACGTGCGTCAGTGAAGGAACACATGACGACGCGTGGAGCTGAGAATAGTTTGACTGTACCGTCGGTCTCGTCGTCGTCTTCGGTGTCCCCCTCTGACTCCAGGAGGCACGAGTCCATTCGGCTGTCTCTCCTCACTGTGACGTCGCCTCTGTAACGTTTAATTAATTAAGCACCAAGTATCGACGCGGAGGTCTCAACTTTAATTTCAGTTGACCCGCGTGGAATTATTGAATGAAACTTTTTAAATCAGCGGTGCCGACAGGTATTATTTTCACCTCTGCTTCCCAGAACTGGGGAGCTGCTCCCAAACGATGAGGTCTCGACCTCCGGTGACCCAACGGTGGTCTCCGCTCCCGGTGGTCCACGCTGCAAAGCATAGGATCCTGGGAGCATTTGGCCAGGTCAGAGAGGCCAGATACCGACACCGAGGCAGAGAGAACACTGCAGAGAGGAGAGAACGATTAAAGGATTGGAGGTCAGCAGAGGAATGCAAAGGTTTCCATTTGGACTTAAGTCCTTATTGTGTTTTCACGCTTGGAGTGGAGAGTGCAACTTTTGGCTGCACGTGGTTAACTCACAATTAAGCGTGCTCTCTCCATTTGCCAGGTCGTAGCTGGAGCCAATTAGGAGGCCCCCCGTCTGGTGAACACAATCTGTTACCCCGGTGATGCTGCTGTGATTGGTCAACCTGGATATCACTCCTGTGATAATTAAACAGATGTTTGGTGGAGGAATTATGTAGATTTAACAAACATCTGTGCCCAGCCCAGTCCCGAGCTCACCAGTCCTCCAATGAAGGATCTTGAGCCAAGCTCGACCGTAAGCCAGGAACACTCTGTCCCCCCGTGGGCTGAGACTCAGACGCCCCTCACCTAAGCCTGTCACCTGGCTGCTCCAGTGGTGCAGCAGCTTTAGTGGGTCTCGAGCCGAACACTGGTTCTCCCACACAGACACCTCTCCCTCAGCCGAGCCGCTGAACACCAGCGGACCCTGAGACTGTGGAGGGTATGAGAGACATGGTTGTCATGGTGATCTGAGGTCCTTACCCACTGTTTGTGGATATGTGTTTACATGCGTGTCAGATTTGAGACTGCATGTATGTTTGTGTAAACAGAATAAAAGTGGGGAGAATATTTTTTTCTGTAAATGGATTGTGTGCTTCGCATGATAAACAACAAAAAGGAAGGGAAATAATGTGCAATGCTTTAACGCTTTGGGCACATTATGATGATTGCAAATTGAAGAAAAAAAAGTGCATGTGTAGTTCTGGGTTTCAGCATTCATAAAAGCCTTTTTTTGCTAATAGAAACAAACAGCGTGCTCTAGAATTGGATGAGCTCCACAGCTTACATCTGAGCAAAAATATCTTAATAATAAAGAAAAGCCCGTGTGAGGATGAAAGTGTAGAAATGTGCCTATTTGATTTTTCAGAGAAGGGGCTTTTTTACAAATTGCTAATCAAGAGTTATAAATACATTAAAGACAGCTTCTAATGCACATTTTGGTGTCAGCCTTTAAAAACAGGCAGAAAATTAAAACCAGCTTTAGCATCCTCCGTGTAGAGAGCGTGTCAGAAGGTGTGTGACCCACGCACCTGGATGGAGGTGACTGCTTCCTGGTGAGCGTTGACTGACTGGCAGCTTTGGAAAGTGAGCCAGCTCCAGGCTTGAACTTTCCCTCCGTCTGCAGGGCGACAGAGTGTGAGGTTAACATATGGCGACAGCCGACTGGCAGTCATTATCGTTGGTCACGGTTGGCGCACCTGAGCCTTCAACAGGATAGCAACATGCTACGCTAACTCACTGGCAGAGTGTCAATCTGAGATACTACACATAAATGTCAAAAAATAGATACAAGAAACAAATCCCAACAACTAAGATCTGTGACGTCTTCAAAGGAACACACCTGATCCCGTGATGATGTAGCCGTCCCCCTCGGGCACAAAGCAGAGCGCAGTCACGGCGTTGAACGTGTAGACAGACTTAACACACTGCCCTAAAGATAGCAGCAAGGTAATTGAGAATATGCAGGCCATCTTATTTCTCAGGATGTATACCTTTGTGTAGGAATCGTACCGATGCTCAGGGCCCAGATCTTCACATAGCAGTCTGCAGAGCCGCTCAAAATGAACCGCTCTTTATCGGACAAACACAGGGACCAGGCTGAGTAGGGGGAAAAGAGACAAAATGGGACGGAAGCAAAGGATGAGAAGGATCAGAAAAAAATGGAGCAATAAGGGAAAATAAATTAGCCTGGAAGACAGATGCAAATAAGTGATGATGCATAAAATAATAGGAAAAGACAGATTGCAGGAAACAGGGAAAGAGAGACCACACGTGATTATACAAACAAGAAGTTCACAGTGGCTGCTGTGACTGAGCTGCTCTGTTGAGGCGTTGCGCTTCCACGTTTGATGAGCTAAGTTGGGGAAGCAGGTGGAAAGGCAGTTTATGAGGAAAGCCAGAGTCAAATGATGGAGGGCTGCTTGCTTCAGTCAGACAGTGAACTCTCTAAAGTGTCTATTGAGGTTATTTCTCACTGGAGATGATCTGATGAACCGCTCCTATAATTACCACGCCGCGGGACACAGACATTACTCAGCTGAAGCCGGCCCACAAGTGCATCGGCGTGTACTCACCCAGCCTCTTGCAATACTCGAGAGGAGGCGCAGACAGACAGGTGACTCCGCCGGTGTGACCCCCCAGGTTCTTGTGCTCTGTTGCCGTGGGAACGTGCCACACCTTCACTGTTGTATCTCGACTTAGATGGGAGGAGTGATAAAGAGGGGACACAGCGACAGAGCGAGGGAGGATAAGATGTTAGAAACAAGCAACGTTCGTTTAGTTTAATATAAAACGCAAAAGATTTGAGCAGACGAGGAGAGAAGAGCTCAGACGGTGGGGAAAGAGCAAACGCTTATTAAGCAATAAATTAAGTGGAATGTTCATGTTGCACACCCATTATGCTAATTACATGCCGTTTTACCTTCCAGAAACAACCAGGTTGTCAACAGCAACCACACTGGTGATTATGTCATTGTGACCCTCCAACAGCCTCAGGCGAAACCTCGCCTTCTCCCAAGATGCTTTGAGGGATGTAAACTCAGCTTCTGTAAAGAAAATGATTTGTGCAATTAGCGTTGTTGACTCATCTGCATCCCGGCTTGTTAATCTACAGCACATGATTCTTCCATATGGATTAGTGTGTCGCTGCAAAGCGTGGGGCTAAATTAGCTCCATGGATGCAAAACGTGGGCCCTGACTTCAGGGAAGCAAGTGCAGCCTGTTGGTTTTAATCCTGGCAGCCGCGTGAGCTCGTTAGGACTCCTTGGGGCATACGTCTGTAATCCGGTTTTAGATGGTAATCGAAAATTAGAGCACAGTTTTGCACTTTTAATAGCGTGAAAAAAGTGTGGCGATATTTTCTTCAGTCACTTTTTGCGGATTGGCTCACCTTCCTGTCGCAGTAGCTGTTCTGTGTCAAAGTCTGGACAGCCTCCTGACTCATCTCCACTCTGATGTGACACCTTGGCCCGCTCTGTCCCATCCTGCAGTCTGCCCAGTTCTGCTGCATCCCCTCCTGCCTCCCTCTGCCTGGCAGCCAGTGCTTGTGATGCTTGAGCCCTGGAGTCCGTCTCTCCCTTAAGGATCTTGGAAGCTGGAGGCGTTTGTGATGGAAGGGCCTCGGGGGCATCGTCCCTGTGCCAGTGCAGAAAGCAGGAGCTGAATGAATAATCAAGATGCAAAATACACACAGCAGCCTGTGACAATAAAAAAACACACCTATGGCATATCTTCAAGTTTCACACTAAACAAAAACACAGACTATAAACATGTATTTATTCAGTGTCATGTTCACACAGGCTGATTTCAGTGATCCAGACCGCTGAGGAAGAGGATGGAGAGAGGACAAGAAGACGACATCACTGAATGATGTTTACATGACACAAACAGTAAAAAGTTATTTTCTAAAAGAAAAGAGTATTTGATCTCAAGTGTTTCTGGACAAATGTACAAAAAAGATCAAAGGTTTCAAAGTGAATGTTGTTGCTTTTGAAAAATGAAGCTCCTATCCATATGCCCCTCCACCTCTCCCTCACTTTCTTACACTTGTCTTTTCATCTTCTCCTTATTTCCGTCTCCCGCGATCCCAAGAGTTTGCTGCGGGCCAGAAAGCTGCAGCTGAAGCTCAGCCAATCTGGAGCGCAGCTCCGCCTTTCTGGAGATCTGACAGGGAAGAAGTCAAGAGATTGGTTGTAAAGCAAGCTGCTAAATCCACAAGTTGTTTTTATCTTGTTTACATGCACATGCAGATCACTCGGAGCGTCTCGACTTATTAGGCTGCAGCTCACAGCGCAGCCCGTACTTCTGTCTGATTGAGAGCTTTGAAATATGCATGAATGAGTAAGCTGGATGTCAAGTGTGTATCAAGTGTTTGTTTTCTCTGTTAAAGGAGCACTTCATCAACTTTGCACAGTTTGTCTCGCAGTTCATGAGTCAAGGGCAGCTCTGCATCTGAAAATAATTGGGCATAATTTGTTGGTTTGATGATACTGAAACAGTTATTTTCATCTGTGTGTGAATGTAGAATACAGATATTCAGAAGGTTTAACAAGACTGACACTTTTGCAGCACAGGATACTGAACATTTAATATCAGATTAAACTGCATTGTGGGAATTGTATTTTCAGAGAAGAGAGTCTGTGTTGACATGAATATATTATTTTAAGGGCAAGTTTTAAATGTTTCACCTTCCCATGTTGTGTGTCTGCATTCACTGCAAACTTAAAACACTCTAATAAAAAAATATTATTTAGTTCTGGCATATTTTGGGGCTTCCAGGCCTTCAAAATATCTCATTCAATGAGAAAATTTGTCAAACTTCAGTTTGGAGGAAAACAAAAACAATCAAAACGACCTAATTTTTATAATCTATCAATTTTAATTTCATATTACGGTTTGTTTGTTTTTTGCTAGTGATATTTCCTTTTTGTATGTTTTTAACTGCAAATTGAGAAATAAATGTTTTACCTCACTTCAGGGAAAAAAAAAGTAATAATGGTCTCCATTATGCAGAGGAGAAGAGTGGAGTCATGCCTGAATTTTAACCCAAAACGAGCTGCAGAGAAAAATAATGGTACTGATGTCATAATGGATTTTGGCCAAAACACCAGAAACTGTTCCTTAAATTAAAAAAAAATATATATATATATATTCATCTCATTTGATGGAGATGCAAAGAATTTATCTTCCACTCTGAGAAAAGTTCAAAAACTTAAACCTCAATGTTCTTATCTTCCAGATCCCTAAACATCTACTTCAAGTCATTTTTATTTTCTTTTTAGTTGGAAGTTATTAGTTTAACCCTTTTATAAGTTAAATTAGCCTTGAATATTTTGTTGCTAATTTTTGACTGATATAATTTTGCTGAAACTGAACAAGGATAAGTTCCAGCTGAATTTTTGTTGCTGAATATTTTACTGTTCTCAAAGTATTAACTTTTTTTTTAAAAAAGAAAGAGTATTAACTTTATTGAAATCATCTTCATTTATTTCGTGACTTCATAAGAAAATGTTCATGTTAAGAGCTGATAAATAATAAAGGGGTCATGTAAAATGTTAGAAAATAAAGTATTTCTTGTCTCTGACATAATGCTTTACTTGTGTGTTTTATTTAATAGTATTACTTTAATTTGAGTATTTTCCATTACTATAATTTCCTGACCTATCAACACATGCAAACTAATACAACAAAGTCCTGAAAAAACAAAACAACAAAAACAAAAGTAACTCTAAAGGTTATAATTGAGCAAAAGTGGACAGAATGGCATAAAAATGAATATGTTTTCCTCTCAGCTCTTCTGTTAATAAGCTGGACACCAGTGATAAAAAAACAATGCAGTTATTGCCTTTTTTTTAATCAATATATATTGAAAATGCAGAAGTTTTATTAAAGTTAAACTCCCGCTAATGATGCACAAAATTCAAAGCACAATGCTCATTTTAGATCTGAATTAAAGTAATTTAATTTGTTAATAAACTTTTTGGCAACACACCTTAATGCATTTGATCAATCCCAGTTTCTATAAAACCTTGAAAAATAGAAAGTACAGTAAAACAACAATTTTTATATAGAGAGCCTGCAAAAAGTATTCACCCTTTGGATGTTTTACCCTTTTATTGGTGTTAAAATCAGTTATAGTCAATATTAATTGACCTTTTAGAAAAAAAAATATATAAACAAAACTCCAATAAAGTGAAAATTGATTTCTACAAAGCAATGTCAAGTAAATAAGAATATGTAATGTAAAAGAAGTACAAGTCTGGGTAAAGATACAAAAAGATTTCTAAGGCTCAGGAGTTTTCTTACAAGCTTCTTACAAGTTACAAGCTTCAGCAGGTGAGATGGGAGAGACTGAGCATACAACAACTGTTGCCCGAGCTCCTCACCAGTCCAGGTTTTATGGGAGCGTGGCAAAGAGAAAGCCCCTGTTGAAGAAAACATTCAATCTTAACAAGAGTTTGTCAAACTGCATGTGAGAGACGCTACGGTCAAGTGGGAACGTTTTTCAAGCTTTTGGCCAAAACACCGTCTTTGGCAGAAACCACATACTGCACATCACCACGAACTCACCATCCCCACAGTGATGCATGGTGGTGGCAGCATCATGCTATGGGGATGCTTCTCACCAGCCAACCCTGGAAGACTTGAAAAGTTATAATGAATGCCACAAAATACAGGGAAATCCTGGAGGACAACCTGACGCTCTGCAAAAGAACTACAGCTTGGGGGAGTGGGGTGTTATTTTTTAGCAGGACAATAAACTGAAGAATAGGGAGAAAACTACGCAGAAGATATTTAATACGACAAGGGGAACGTTCTGGAGTGGCCGAGTCAAAGCCCAGACCTAAATCCGGTGGAGAATTTGAGAATTTGTGTCTGATCAGAGTGAGGCCTGACAGAGTTTGAGCAGTTTTTAGAGAATGGACTGAACCTCCAGGATCCAGATGTGCAAGACTGACTATCCACACAAACTGTGCTGCAACTGCAGCCACAGGTGTTACGCCACAAACTGATGGGAAGGGAGTGAAGGTTTTTGCAGTCAATTATTTTACATTACTTTTATTTAATTGGTGTATAGAACATTTCACTTCGGCACTGAATAATATTTTTTGTCAAAAATACCTTTTTTTATTTTATTTGTTTTACTAATTTATAATTGCAATAAAAGCATAAAACATCCAATGGGGTGATTACATTTCATTGGCCCTGTAAGTGTGGTCACATACAAGTGCATAGAAATAGTAGTTAAATTGTGCGTGTTTATAGAATAATCACGGTTATCTTTTCTAAATATGAGTTTTCACCCAGTAATTCACTTTAAAGGAACATTTGCATATCATTGCTGTGTTCTGGTTTGGCTGTGTGGGTCGGTTTACAGAATATTTGCAGAAACTTGATGTGACCTAAAAATTCTCTCTGATTCATATCAGCAACTTCCACCACAAATGCATTTATCATTTTCTTCCCAAATAAATGTTGCAGCAGCAGTTCAGCTGAGACAAATCAGTGTTGTGGAGCACAGCCATGATTCTGCAACATTCATCGTGTGACCTTTACCAAGACAAGAGGTTTTTCCTAAACTTCCTGCTAATTATTTTTGTCCTGCTGCACTCAGTTCAATGTAGATTATCTGATCTGCTCAGATCCCAGAGCAAAAGCTGTCAAATTATTCATTGCTCTATTATTAATTCATGTTAATCACTGCCTTTATGAAGTCAACACACTTATTTCAAATATAACAAGAATTCATTTGCATTTTTTTTCAGCCTGGCAGCAATTTTTAAGCCATAATCTTTATAAAGTGACAAACCTGCTGTATAATAAAACTAAAAAAGGCAAGGATTTGATTTGTTTTGCTGCTGTAAATTTTACCCTCCTGTTTTCTTCTTTAGGGAAATTTATTTACTTTTGCACAAACGCTGATCACACAGGCGAATATGAAAAGGCAGATGAAGTGTTTTTTTCTGTACCTTGAATCTCTCCTCTGGGGTGAGACTGATTTTTATTTCCAGATTTTCAATCTGTCTCAGTTTCTTCTGGAGCTTCCTCACCTCCCCCATTTGAAACTGCGCCGCTGCCTAAAAACCCCGCAGGCCTGAATGAAAATAAATAAATAAATAAAAACGAGCCCCAAGTGTTCATGAAAGCATCAAATGGACATCTCTTGTGAATACACGACCCTCTAAGTGTGAAGATGTAGCAGGAGGATTGGCGGTGTTTTGGTGAGACGTGTCGCCGGATGTTGACGATGAGCTGAAACGTGTTTCCTGTTCTTACAGCGACGCCTCGTGGATGTTCCTGGTACTGCAGTTAATGAATCAATAATAATTTTGTGATTTTGACAAATAGTTTTGGTATTTTTTGTTGTGCTTGTACAGTATTAATTTTTTTATATTATTTTAATTTGTAATTTTGAATTTGATAAAGTTTATTTAATATGTAAAACCTAAAGAAAACTGTTATACAACCTGAAAACTAAATTAGCTTATGTTGCCTTCAAGAACCCTTTTTTTTTTCGCTGAGAGGCAGCAGCTCTGTCGGTTGCGCCACCGTGCTGCCCCACATTTTTGGCCCGTATTTTATAAATTAAAGTTGTAAATAAAAAATTTCAAACATTAAAATATTGGTTGTCAATGTTCTGTTGTCTTTTCCTTTTTATAGTTTATTTCATTTTTTAGTTGGACTCGAACTACTTCTGCAATTTTTAAAGCTCATATTTCAAACCAACAACTTGACTTTGGGTTTGGTAGCTTTTACAATTTTCAATTTATAATTTATTTAATTTGATTTATAATACAATCTAATGAAAAAAGTCCCATTAAAATACATATGATAGCATACAATATCTTCAATCCTTATTTATTTTAAAAATCTGTTCAAATGTTCTTGCTCCATTTTTTTTTAACATGCTGTATTCTCGTTTTAGCTGCTGTTCTGCTTCTTTTAGCTTTTGGCTACCATTGTGCTTCTACTAGCTTTTAGCTCCAGATCTCTTGCGTTTAGCTTTTAGTTACTATTTCGGTCATATTGACTTTTAACTTCTTCTTTTTTTTTTTTAGCTTTTAGCTACCATTCATCTATTTCTAGCGTTTGGCTACAGTTCTGTTTCTTTTAGCTAAGGTTCTGCTACTAATAGCTTTTAACCATTAGTTCTGTTTCATTGACCTTTTAGCTACTTTTCAACTTATTTTAGCTTTACAGTTTTATTACTTTTAGCTATTGTTGTTACTTTTAGCTACCTTTCTGCTTGGCTACCAATCTGCTACTACAAGTTTTTAGATATAGTCCGGCTTATTTTAGTTTTTGGCTATCACTCTGCTAATAGGTTTTAGTCATTAGTTCTGCTTTTTTTTTTTAGCTTTTAGCTGTTATTTAGCTTCTTTTATCTTTTTTTTAATTTTAGTAACTTTTTACTTCTTTATCACTTTGCAACTGTTTTGCTTTTTTTTTATGAATGCATGTTTTAGCATACTTTTGTTAATTTTAGCTACTGTAAGTCTACTGCTGTTTTAGATCAAGATTGAGATTTTAGTACTTCTGCTTCCTGTTTATAGCTTGTGTTCTGCTAATTTTAGCTTGATTCCTGACCATTTTAGCATTTGCTTAGCTTGTTTTAACTTGATCATGTTTATTTGGTTTTTCTTCGTGTTTCATATCTCAACCACAAATGTAGAAAGGTTTCTCTAATTCTTTAAAGAGTATGTTAATTGCGTGAGTTCAGCCAACATTGCCAATCTATTCATTTACAATATTTCCAACTAAATATGAACGCATGCATCTTTTCAAGTTCTCTCACAAAATAAAAACTCGAATAAAAGCTCAAAGTAAAAAACATTTTAGATTCTGCTCGATTTAAAATCCATCCATTCATTATCTTTAATCTCCTCTTTCATTTTGGGTCACGGGGGTCATTGGTGCCCAAGTCCAGCAGTCACTGTGGGAGGCGGGGGACACCTGGACAGCTCGCAAGTCCATCACATAAAGACAAAGGAGACAAACAACCATTCACTCTCTCACTCACATCTACGGACAATTTAGAGTTACCAATCAGCCTAACATGCATGTTTTGGTCTGTGGGAGGAAACCCACACATACACAGAAAGAACATGCAAACTCCACCCAGAAAGGCCCCGGCCGGGATTCGATCCCACGACCTTCTCGCTGAGCGCTCCATCAGATACCGGAAGTGACATCATCACTCCTTTTGTCTGACGACCTAATCGGGCGGAAGTGGAGCTCAGACAAGGCTACTGGCTAAGCGAAGGGAGGAAAAAAAAAAAAAGCATTAAGCAAGAGGGGGGCACTTCACTGATATACAGGATCTTTTTAATAGAGTTGGACCCAGAATCAAGGACTGTTGTGGTCGTTTGGAGTTCCGGAGAAGAGGACGGAACCGTCGGTACCGGTAAACACGACAATTGTCCACGCTGTGGTTCCTAATTTAATGTACGACTCAGCTGCCGCCTCTCCAACCGTCTCCTCGGCCGGAAGTGTGCTCTGAGGATGGTCAGGTTGTTTTCTTCCTGTCAGGCAGGAGGACGCAGCCTCGTCAATTACCACTGCAGGCCTGATTGACTACCGCACGTTTGGGGCCGAAATGGAGTCCTGCTGTTGAGCTCCGACTTATTTTAAACATAATTTAAATCTGTTGAGAAGCTCTTCATAAAAGTTGGCGTTGTCTTGGTCATTTTGTAAGCTCTCAGTCCCCAACTAGTGGATCTGATCTAAACGCAACTTTAGTATCTATTCAACATTTTTATTCAATTAAAGTAAACTAGCTTATAAAGCAAATTCCCTTCATGGAAACATGCATAATCATTACACCAGATACCCACTAAAGCTGTTGTTTGTGTTTATTATATTCTAACTTGCATTAATACGTTTGTTAGTTACCATTTATAAATGTATTTTTAGTCATTTATTTTTTATTTACATTGTAACTTGTTAGAGGGTTGCTTCATTACAGGTGCATTAAACAGAAGTAGAATATCATGGAAAAGTTTCTTTTGTCAGTCATTTCAGAAAATAAAACTCATATTGACTCAATGAGACTACCTGTACAAATAAAGGTTAAATAAATAAATAATATATAGATGAATTACACATTGAGTGAAATATTACAAGTCTTTATTTCTTGTAATTTAGATGAATTTGTATTTCATTCATCCATCCATTATCTTTACCCGCTTCTTTCTCTCTGGTTCGTGGGGGTCACTGATGCCCATAGACAGCAGTAACTGCAAGAGGTGGGGGACACCCTGGACAGGTCTCCAGTTCATCGCAGGGACACGGAGACAAACATCCGTTCACTCTCTGACTCTTATCTAGGGACAATTTAGAGTTACCAGTCAACCTAACATGCATGTTTTTGGTCTGTGGGAGGAACCTGGAGTACCCAGAGAAAGCCCACGCATGCACGGAGAGAACATGCAAACTCCACCCAGAAAGAAAACTGTCCGGGATTCGATCTGGCAACATTCTCACTGAGAGGCAGCAGCTCTACCAACTGTGCCACATTATGGCTTACAAATAATAATAAAAATAAAATAAAAAATTATACATTTTCACAATATTAAACTTATGAGATGCACCTGTAAAGTTTATTCATGTTAATTTTGGACATAGGGACTCTGCAGAGGTACCAAAAGCTGCATGTGGCCCTAAAGCCATAGATCAGTCCCTTGACCTTCACAGACCACAGCCATCCTAATATGTGTCAGTCATGAAACTGAAGCTTCCTGGTGGTTTCTGTCAAATTCAGCTGAGTGCTCTGTTTACATGGAGTGTGGACCCACATTTCAGAATTGCACTCGACTCAATACATCTGAAAAACTACTGGAGTAAACTTTAAAATCTGCATCATTTGATACAATTTAATGTTTTTATGTTTTGTATTATACTTTTCCTTTAATAAAACATTGTCTTTCTGCTCTGTAACATGTCATTTTGCTTTAAAAGCAGTGATTACAGTGCAAAATAAGCATTTTATGAAATGGAAACACACATTTATCGTATCAACAGAGCTGTTCAAATGAGAAAACATTAATTTATTTAAATGATCTCCAGAACAAAAATGTAGCAGATTCTCCTTATGTTTAGAGAAGTACAAGTCTCTCTTTGACTCACCACAAAGCTACCCAGTGAATCATTACTAAATTGTTCATCAGGTTTTGGTAATATTGAACAGTGTTGCACTTTGTAATAACCTTTTGTCAATATTTCTTAAACCCCATTTATAAAAAATAAAATTATAGACAAATGCCTTTATTGTCAATGTACACAGAGATGTAATCAATAAAAACATTCAGAAACACACACAAAAAAAAACTCCTGGCACACACAAAATCAAATCAAGATGACAGATTTGTGTTTGTTTAAGAGCATCACTGCATCACCAAAGAAATTGTTAGTGAGTCTGGCAGCTTTGGATTTGATCGGTGGTGTCTGCCAGAGTGCAACAGGTCGAACAGATGAATACTGCGGTGTAAACAGTCCGTGATCATGTTGTTGAGGATAGACTGCAACTATTAATATGAAAATGCTGTAAATATAATATTTTGTTATCTAAATCAAGACAACAAAGTTATTAGTCCTTGTCTCAGTGCAGCAGAACAAAAATGAACTGACGCTCATGAATAGTGCACACATGCATCTGAGCTCAGCAGATTGAAGAAAAGCACAGTGCAGTCTGTTCTGGTTATTTTACAAGTTGAAAGATCATTTCAATCCTAAGAAATGTGTGAGGTACATCTTTAAAAAAAAAAAAAAAAAAAAAGTCAAATCTTTGAGAAGTGGGGAAATAAAATGTGTCATCTAAAGTTCGAAAAGGAGGAACCTGATTTCCTTCTAATAGTTTTGATATGACCGGCAATCCAGTACCGTGAAGGCTGTGAGGGATTAGTTTCTTATTCTATATGCTGCTGCGCTCATAATACACATCAGGCTGGATGGAGGCTTAAACTTATCACAGCCAGCAGACAGAAAGGCAAAGATTTGAATTAGTCTGGAAGCTTGTGCGGCTGTAAAATAAATAAGATGAACTGAGTTAAGTCAAGCGTGGACAGAACATGTTTGGCTTCCATCCTAACCTTTTCACCCAGAGACATAACCAGCAGGTCTCTGATCTTCACTTCTTTAATGCGGAGAGTAAAGTATGGATTCTTGGAAGGTTTAGATTATTTCACGACGGGTTTAATTGATTCTTCATCTGATTTGGCCGCACTGTAAACCTTCTACCTTCCTGTTCTTGTGTCTTTGCAGAAATAATGGAAGACGCTCATTTTAATTCCTCGTATTTCTGGTCTCCTGTGCCAGCTGTGCCAGGACAGGTAGGATTGGAATATTTACCCATCAAGGCCAGAGCTGTGGCTGTTTAAAACAACCATAAATGTATTCATGTCAAAACAGTGCATCACACAGATCAGTGTGGGATGAAAATGTCTCGTGTCCCCAACAGATTGAGAATGCCATGTTCCTGAACAAAGTGAAAGAGCAGCAGGAGAAGAATGCTTCGTTCTCTCCTTCCTCGGCCCCCCACTACCAAACAGCTCTCCTCACCATCCCAACTCCTGGGGCAAAGACAGATGGAGGCGGGCCGGCTGGTAGTGCGGCGCACCTCCACTCTACTCACAGCACCCAGAACATCACGGTGTTGCCTGTCTCCTCCACAGGCATCATGACAGCAGGTATGCCTGTTTCTGCTCAGAGAAGCCTTTAGGGGTGTCTTTCTCAGTTTTTGCGGACATAACAGCTGATAATAGCTTCAGAACTGCAGCAAAGTTTACCCCAGGCTCATACCAGCAGGGTGTTAAATGATTTAATCAGCAAGAACAAATGCTGCTAACAGGACAGCTTGGGGGGAACGTGAACATCTGTATGTCTCAGTTCACGATACTTCCACAGGGTTTTTCTCAAAAAGGATTCAGTAGCCCTGTGATGCTAGCATACTCCTTTTGTAATTCTGTTTTAACACTTCTCTGCTCAGCGTACAATATTAAATATGCCTGTAAAGATAAATCTTTAAAATTCACGTGGACACTGCTCATATCAGAACAATTCTTTCCATCTTTCTTTCCATGCAGCTGGTTTGGTGATTACGACTCCTCAAGGAACGCTGGTCTCTCCCACCTCTTCTCAGTCGTTTGTCTCCGGTCCTCCAGCGACAACCATGATTGTTTCAGCGCTCCATTCTCCAGGTTCGTGCACAAGTGATATAACGGGTTAATAGAAATTGTAACTGAAGAGACTGAATTGTAATGGGGGCTGCAAGTAGTTGGCAAATAAAATTCATGAGAGTCTTCCAAATTTCTCTAGAATGTCTCATGACTTTTGTGGTGGTTCACAACTTTCTTTGTGAATTCCTGAGGCGAGCAGCCTCGTCACTTGAGTTTTGGACACTTTTAAAACTGAAACTGCTTTTCTCGAAATAGTGACAAAGTCATTGTGGGTGTCTATAACCCATTTTGAACCCATTTGAATTTTGCTGCAGGCGTCTCCAACCCCACCCCACCCAAGAGCTCTCCTCTGACAGAAAACATTTGAAGCAAATGCCCAGGTCTAAAACACCATGCAAATGATAAAGTCTTCTTCTTCTTTTGTCTTTTCCCTCTTCAGGGCTCTCCACAGGGAGTCGTCCTCCTCCATCACACTCTGTCCTCTGCATCCTCTGTCCTCACTCCATCTACCTTCATGTCCTCTCTTAACTGCATCCATACATCTCCTCTTTGTCTTTTTCCTGGCAGCTGCATTTCTAACATCCTTCTACCAATATATCCACTGTCCCTCCTCTGGACATGTCCAAACCATCTCAGTCTGGTCTCTCTGACTTTATCTCCCAGTTCTTCAACCTGTGTTGTGCCTCTGATTATCAAGGTTCAAGGTGACTTTATTGTCATTTGCATCACATGTGGTACATGAGGTGGAACGCAATTGTGTACTCAAGGCCCCAGTTACACCCAAAAATAGCAAAAATATAAAGTATAATAAAGAAACAGTATACAAGGATCTAAGTTATACGCTAAACAATAATAATGTAATATAATACAGTGTATTAAACAGCAGCCTGAACGTGAGTCTGTTGTGAGTAGATGGGCATGATTACAGCAGCTAAAGGTAAGAAATCAGCAGCATGGATAATCAGCAGCAAAGATAAAGTGTCAAATCTCCAAATGATTATCTCATTCCTAATCTTATCCATCCTTGTCAGTCCTAAGGAGAACCTCAACATCTCCATTTCTGTCACTTCCAGTTCTTTCACCTGTTTTTATGCTAATGATAAAGTAATAAATAATAATTATTGAAAAACTGGTCCAGATCTACCTGTCTTTATTTTAAGTGTACTCCAGCAACTTAAATCATAAATGCTGGTGCAGCTGCTAAGGTTATTACAAAGCAGATTGAGGCAGGGAACAGGTGGGCAAGAAAATAATGTGCACGGCCTAGAATATAGTTTTGCGAGCACATCCATCCATCCATCCATCCATCCATCCATCCATCCCATTATCTTTCGTTTGTTCTGAAATTGGGTCGCAGGGGCAGCAGCTTGAGCAGGGAGGCCCAGACATCTCGTTCCACAGCCACCTCTTCTAGGTCTTCTGGGAGATCCCCAAGGTTTAGTCTCTCCAGCGTGTCTCTCTCTCACTCTCTCTCTCCATATATATATATATATATATATATATATATATATATATATATATATTTCCTGCATAACAAAACCAAAAACACAGCTGTGCACTTAAAATTTAAACAGAAAACAGACAGAGCAAACATAATGAAAGGCTGACTTGCTCTTTAAAAAGTTGGATTCTAATGAAGTATTTTCATTCAACCTTTATTAACAAAGCTGTTAGAAAGTCCACATTGTTGTGTAGTTGGCTTGTTTGCTGAGCTCGTTTCTGTTTGGTTATGGCTTGTTTCTTTCTGAATTTCATGATTCCTATGCTCTTGAATGCACCGTGGCTGTTCCAATGCTACCGAACACACAGCTCTGTGCAAAGTGCCATGCTGCGTGCCCTGCATTGGAGTTTTTTCTCTCCCGACACAGATGGAGCCTTGCTGTTTGAGCTTCTGTTTGCGCCTTACTGGTTACTGCTGTGCGTAAATACCAGAAGAAACACAGCAAATAAATCACCCTAAACTGGAAATCTGTCTCCGTGTTTTTTAATGAGAAGACAACTTCATACCTTGCTGCTCTAAAGCAATTAATTTCCTGGAGAACACAAAACCTCTCCTTTGTAGCAGCTACCTAGTCATTTTCACACCTATCAGAAATTTATATCCATGTCACCAGAATGTCTGCACTGTGAGTTGACAACTATTGTGACGATTGATTGATTGATTGATTGATTGATTGATTGATTGATTGATTGATTGATTGATTGATTGATATCTGCATATCTGTATATGCATCTAACTTGTTCACAGTGTAAGCTGCAGCAGCAGGCAGTTTACACAGCAGGAGGCGGGAGGAGCGGGTGAGGGGTGGGTTTGTATTCAGTGAGGGAGAGGAAAAGGGGCCGCATGACTGGGAGAAGAACTGGCAGATTTTCAAGTATATTTTATATAACTACATTGAGTATGAGATTATATTGTTTTATGTCGACATAGTCTCATTTTATATTGCGTATGAAATTATCTTAATATTTAAAAAAATATTGAGATATTGCCCAGCCCTTAGGCTAAGCAAAAATAATAATGAGAACAATTTTTTCTTTCAATTGTTTTCTTCTTTTTATAATATACAAAGCACACGGCACTCTGTCCTTTTTTCCAGATGATACTTATAAGCATCAAACATAGCTAAAAATAAGAATGTTGTTGAACCATACAAGTACAATTTTCTATAGAAATTTGTACTTCTGTTTCCACATTCTTATTTTTATCCCTATTTCAAAATATCACCCCACCTTTATATTGAGGATGGGTTTTTTGTTTGTTTTGTTTATTTTTTACTGAAAAGATGTGAGCCAGGCAATGAAAGACCAATGACCCTCAGGAGGGAGGGGAGGGAGATTATTCTGCATGTGAATATAGTTTTCATCGACAGAGTATCTCATGCTCTACACTCCAGTTTTGAATTGAGAACGCTTCCAAAACATCTCCAATAGGTTGCTTTGGTTTTAAACTTTTAAGATTTGCCATGTTCTGAATGGCTGAGCGCGTACACCAATAAAGTGAATAGGTGATTTTAAACTCTCTACAATAAGGTTATTTTTTGTTATCTGCATTGTTTATTTTTGTTATAGACAAAAGAGAAGGCGATGCAACGTCCCATGTGCTTCTGATGCAGACTCCCTCCAAACGAGGAAGAAAGAAGGCGGCACTGTCTAGGGTTGCTCCGGTGGGTGGACCAAGAAATGACACGCTGATACTAACACAGCTGACACCTGGAGGCCAGGTGAGGGTAACCACAGAGGGGAGTTTGATGCTATAAATTGGTTATAAATTTTAATTTTTTTATTATTTTAATAGGTTGCATCTTTTCAGCACCACACAGGGGAGCCGTATGAGCTGTCAAATGAAGATGATGACCATGGCCCAAAAGATACTACTAAGACATACAGGTATGGTTTCATCTGCTGTGCATCCTCGCTATGGCTGCAAAGATGTTTAGCTTTTATAAATGAAATGAGCTCTGCTCGCACAGACACACATACGGTGACACTCCTGAACATCCCTCTCTGCATGTTGTGGCTGTTTTATAGCTCAGGCTTGATTGTTCATGTATTTGAAAAAACAAACAAACAAATACATCACTGCTTCATGGACGCTCTGCTTCTGTAAACTCTAGACTTGAGTCAGTCCTCTGTTATCTTTTTGTTTTTATATAGCATCTTCTTCCACTTTTTATACTATCTGCACATGTTTCCTTTTCACTAACATTACCTCTCTTCGTATTTCATTTGTCTGGGTGTGCCAAATATATATTTTAATCCATTTTTCTTTATTTTCCCCCCATCTTTTTCTCATTTATTGCTCCATTATCTTTCCTCTTTTATTCCCCCATCCATCTTCTGATGTTTTTGTACATGTTGTCTCCTTTTTCTTGGTTCTTGGTTCCTCCATCCCGCCCTCCCATTTCTGTGTCTCTCCGCCTGTAGGTGCCGGATGTGCGCGGCGACCTTCTTCAGTAAGTCTGACATGCAGATCCACTCCAAGTCGCACACAGAGGCCAAACCTCACAAGTGTCCTCACTGCGCCAAGTCATTCGCCAACTCGAGCTACCTGGCCCAGCACATCCGCATCCACAGCGGGGCCAAGCCTTACACCTGCTCCTACTGCCAGAAATCTTTCAGGCAGCTCAGTCACTTACAGCAGCACACACGGTACTGCAGACTCCCCTACCCCCTTCCTTCCTCTGTTATCAGCCCCTGTCCTCTTAACCAGCCACGCCAAGTCCTCTTTAGGAGCCCAGACTAATGTCTTCCTCCTCTTCCTCAGGGGGAAGACAACTGAGTGGTGTGCAGATGCATATTACACACTGCATGTTCCATCCTGTGACCTTTTCAGAAAATCAGAATTCATATTAGACCTTTCATTCTGTAGCTCTGCCCATAAAGCAAATTATTTATCATATTTTATTTAATCAAACATTAAAATGTATGGAGTTCTGATACACTAATTCAGTTAGGTTTTCTTTTGTGTCTTGTTTGTGCTTCTTGCTTCCCTTCATGCTCTTTGCATCCTAAATTTCTGGGTATTTTTTTATTCCCTGCATCTTCTGCTGTTTATTTTCTTGCACCGCTTCATTCAAAAACATATTCACATTTTTAAATACAGTTAAAACATATCATTGATTGACTTCCTCTTCTCCATGACTAACCCATTACATTGGTGTTTTTCTTCATTGAACTGTATTGTGAAATAGAAAACAGTTTGCTGCAATGCTCTGCTTTTATGTTGTTAATATTGTTTGGTGTTTGTTTTTCTGCTGTTTCTAAGTACATTTCCATCCAACTTTGGCAGCATATTGATCTGAGTGGATGCATTTGTAAAACTTTTTATGCGTTTTCAAAATATGGTTACTATAAAATGCAGAATTAGCCCCAGATTACAATGATTTGCATAGAATTCAAACACTGCTTAATTGAAAATTGTAAAACAAAACTTATAAAATAGTTTTTCTTATTTTAAAATGTTTCCTTTTTATATTAGAAATCAGTTTCAGTGTTCAGACACTTTCCATTTTATTGTCTCCTAAAAAAAAATCACAAATATTTGTCAAGCTTTGGGAACTGAGGAGACAAATTACTGTTAATTGAAAAGTGATGTATTGATTTATTATTTAATTTCTTAATACACCAAATGTTTCAGTGGTCACAGGTCTCAACTACAGACAGCCTAGTTTAGCATCTGTAATTATTATTTTTTTTTTGAATACGTTAAATGTATATTGTCTAATGGGCAAACTGCACAAGAAATCCTATGTACCTGAACCTTGTGTAAAAGTAAAGATGGCAAAAAAAGACTGACATGTCTTTTGTTCTGGAACCAAAAAAAAAAAAGACAAAAGTTTTGTACAAAAGTTGAGAGATGTTAGAAATGTATCAGGTAATTTCATGATTGCATTTTTTCTATATATATAATTAATGTGACAATCGTCTATTTTAATTTTTAGTAAACAAAATGGATGAATTTGAATGCCAACTTTGTACTGTTTGTTAGAACTGACTCACTTTATAATTATCATCTTGGATCATTTGTCCTTTGCTTTAAACATAACATCTGCATAGTTTCCAAGTTAAAAAGTTTTACGTTTTTTATTTATTTACTTTTTTCATATAACCATATGTTTTATTACCACTAACAGACACAGACAGCACTTTATAAAAAAATGAATATAAAATTATTTTAATTACTTCATTGCAAATTTAAATATTTAAATGTCAGACGTGTAGGTCGGCTGATTCGGGGGACAATGAGATAATTTAGTTTAATTTCTGATGTCGTCAATCCTGCATTTCTGTTTGATTTAGTTGTTTTTCTTGAATGGGTTAAGAAAATATGTTTATTTTTCATTTCAATTTTCTCACAGCTGTTTTCATTTGTCTCTCACCCTTTTTTCTGCCTTCATCAGGAACCACACAGAGTCAAAGCCTCACAAGTGCCCTCATTGTACGAAATCATTTGCCAACTCAAGTTATTTGGCTCAACATATTCGCATCCACACCGGTGTGAAACCCTACTCTTGTGCATACTGCGACAAATGCTTCAGACAGCTTAGTCACCTTCAGCAGCATAGCAGGTGAGTTCGACATGGATCTTGGGTTTCTCAACCTTCTGCACGTCTCTTCAGGTTAGAGCTCTGTGAAGGTCATAGGAGTCTACGCCTGTACATGTGTGTGTGTGTTTGTGATTTTCTTTTAATCCAGAATTCACACCGGAGATCGGCCATACAGGTGCACCCAACCAGGATGTGAGAAATCCTTTACACAACTCTCAAATTTACAGGTGAAAAACAATATTTTTCTTTTTTTGTGTGTTCTTACTGTGCCATAGAATATTTTCATGTCCTGTGTCACTTTTTAAAATCTTGTTTGTTTTATTATTCTAAAAATGGTTTCCTCTCAGTCCCATCGTCGTCAGCACAACAAAGACAAACCCTACAAGTGCCCCAACTGCAATAAAGGATACATAGATGCAGCGAGCCTGGAGGTGCACATGTCCACACACACAGTAAAACACGCCAAGATCTACTCCTGTGGTCTTTGCAGCCGTTCTTATACCTCAGTAAGACAAATGTCCATTTCTGAAGAGCATTTCTACATGAAACACTATGAATCGCAGCTTTGGCATCAGACGCCTTGCAGCTACTTAACACCATGTAGTCATGTATCCACTGTTTCCCCTCTACCTATATTCCCCTCATCTCAGGAGACATATCTGGTGAAACACATGGAGAAACACAACCCAGACCAGTTGACTGCACCTGCCGTTGTGGCAACACAACTGCCACAGCCGCACCAAAGCCAGGCCCAGGGCCAGGCTGGAGCACAGAGACGGGTAGAGAGTGCAGATGGAGGATCCAGTCGAGCTGGAAGCGGAGCAGCAAGGGGAGGCCAGCAGGGACAGAGCCAGAGCAGCTACCCACAAACAGAAACCATGCCTTGTCCATTTGATCTGCACCATTATAAGACGGTGTCTGCCGATGACATTGAGTACAAACCGGTTAGCGTGGCTGACATTACTTCCCACAAAGATCTGTGCATCACTGTGTCTGCATCCACAATTCAAGTGGAGCACCTCAACTCTTAGATGTGATGAAAGCGGGAGTCATATGGGGAAGTTAGAATCAAATCAAGATAAATGGAGGATGGAGAGTCAAGAATTAAAGCAATACTAAGAAAATAGAGAAACTTTGGATCACATGACTGTGCCTGAATGATGGTTTGAGACAGACAGGACAAATCATATGCTGCTCAGTATATTGAAGAATGTTTTTTAGTTTATTTTTCTTTCTATAATGTTCGAGCTGTTTTCCTTTTGCTTAGCTGTTCTGTCTGAGTAAAGACTCTTTGTAAAGGCTTACAATAAAGTATGTTTCAGTCCATCATAGTGATGGTTTTATGATAGGAAGTGTCTGAGAGACAGTTCTTTTTTATTGTAACCACTGTCCGTTCTTTACAAATGCAATTTTGACTATAGCAATTTGTGGTGTTTCTCTGTTGATTAAAATTGGTAATCACCTGTAAAAGTAATTTTTTTATACTTTGGTACAGACTTCCAGATTTGTCATCAGTGTTATTTCTTCTGCTGTTGTTTAATTGACATGCTTTTGACATTTTTAACCTTTAAAGGGATATAATATTTTCTTTTTGGGAAAGAAAAAAAAATACATTCAAGTATATTGAATGATATACTACCAGTTTATAAAGTATGATTGTGTGTGTAAAGGACATAGTAAATCACCGGAAGAATTAAGACATATTTGTGACCCATACATGAGCTTTCAAGGGATGTGAGTCGCTATATGTAATGCAGCATCCTACTTTTTGTGTATGTCTTAAAGCGATTTGTCGTTTCACTATTATACTTCCACATTAATACTGTTTGAATTACAGAAATATTCACACAGCTAAAGCTTGTGCAGTTCCTAATGCTTATAAAACAATAAAGCTTCTAAAATATTTTATTTTACTTTATTGGTAAAATGATTATTTTCTTGGGTGTTTCAGTGGCTCTTTTGGGGGGGCATCCTATTTTCTGTTCATTTGCTTATTGCCTGCTAAATTCTGCTTTTTGTGCAAATGTTTGTTTTGAATTCTGTGGGGGGGGGGGAAATCATTTAATGTTGAACTCAAGTTACTGCGCTGCATGCGTTTATCTAATCTGGTTATGCCACTGCTGGCTATGTCTGCTGGAATGTGGTTAGGTGTTTACAAAAGTAGACTATACCATTGTAGTTTAGGGGAGGGGGCGGATAACATTACATTTGCCCAAATAGTATCATTTGTTTTAAATAATTACGCACGTCATTATCACGATTTGTGTTTAAAGTGTAGTTTTATCAAATCTACGGAAACTACCGCGACAAGTAAGATATTGGTGAGGTTGCGTATCTTATCATTTGGTTTCGTCCACGAATCTCCGCAGTCTGCAGTGGATATGGCGTCACTAAAAAAAGTGTAGGAGTCCAGAAACTTCATCCATGTAAATAACGCCAATTAGAGCTGTGCAAGAGGCTCTAAGCATCAATACCGCAAATAGCTATTTGAATATATTTATTAACGTTATTTTTTCAGCATGCCTCGGAAAAAGCCATTTAGCAACAAACAGAAGAAGAAGCAACTCCAAGTGAAACGGGAGAAAAAGAGAGGCAAGTATTTTTTTTCCGTTAGTTAGCATGCTAACGTTAGCACTTAGCTCCGCGGCTACATTCAGTGAAATGGTAAACTGCTTTCTGTACATAATGGTTAGTGGTGTCAGTATTTTAACAATACGTCTTAATGTTTAATACATGTGTAGTAAAAACGCTTACATTTGTGAAATGGTTTAATCAAACATTACCGTAAAACTTGCACGTATATAAGTTGAGCCGTTTGCTCAAGCGTTAAATAATGCATTCATTCCCCTTGCTGACAGCAGGCGTAAATATAAACTGACTGTGGGCCATGTTGCTTTTAGTTTTGTAAGGGTAACTGAAAAACTTATGTTTCTAGGATCACACCAAGTTATTTGATTTCCACACGTGTTTAAAGGTTTCTGCTGGTTTCAAATCTGATTTTGACTTAACTGGCACTTTTCCATTAGATAATGTTCTTTAAGTCAATCTGAATTTACTTAAACGAGTTAAATGTCTTTTTTTTCTATGACCTTCTCCATGTGTTCAGTGTAAACACACAAGCAATGCCCTGCATGTTTCTTTGTGTACACTTCTTAAAACGAATGAAAAATGTTTCCAAACCCTTGATGGTAATTTATGGTTGTAAAACATGTTTCCATTGTGTTACTAGGTTTTTGCTATTCAAAGAGTTTGTTGGGGTTAACAAAGTCAGAGTGTGTTTTTAATTTTAGCTATTCATGAAACATTGTACAAACCTGTAAGGAAACAAACTGGGATTCCTGCCATCTGTTCCTGAAATATTGACTTTTAAAATCAATATGGTTCCCCCTCTGCTTGAAATCAATAACACTATTACTTTGAGCTTACCTAAAAGAACTCACTAAATTATTTTAAAGCAATTCTAAATTACTTTTTGAATTAGAAATCAAGATAGAGGCGGAATATGATTTTTTTTTTGGACACAATGATCAGTGAATATAATAGTGGCCTGTGACTTTTATTCATAGTTTTGTGATGCATTGTTAATTCTCACATCAGCTTTATTTAGCTTTGGGGATATCTGCAAACTACTTACCAGTAGTTTTATTGCTGCTATTTAATCTTCAGGATTTTCCCAAACTGACTTTAAATCAACTATATTTTTCTCTTAGTTTTATAAAGAATGAATAAAAGGTTAAATGTTTTTTTTTTTATTAATTTATTTGTTCATCTATTGGTTTTTCCAATGTGTCATATCTGACATACTGACTATGCCTGCCAGGTGACACAGGTTCCAGCCCAAGCAGTCGTAATGCAAGTGTGGAGCGAGGAGGAGAGCGTCAGTCCGACACCTCAGATAGTGAGACCACTGATGTTAAAAGAATAAATCAGCAGCCCTTTGGTAGAGAAAGCAGATATGACCCAAACAGGTATGTTTTCAGCATCATCACCACTAGAGTAAGTCAGAAATTTAAGAGCTCATAAAATCCTCACATTTGTCTTTTAGAGGTCCACTGAAGGAGGTTTACATGCTTCAATTACTAGAAAACACTTTTCCCCCCCATCGTGTACTCTGCTGAAGAACATCTTATTGTTTGAAACACTTTCTTTCAGCTTCTTTATCTTAAGAGTTCTCTTTAAACAAAGTCCATATTGCTGACTGTTCAGCTAATAGGTAAAAAGAAAAAGTCTTAACTGTGAGGCAGCTGCTCATTTTTGTGCCAAACTACCTACAAAGCATAAACTTTGCCTGCTTGTTACACATGAAGTGGAAGATATGCCGGAATCGAAAGCAGACATCTGAGGTGTCATGTTTTCTTGCTGAAGGAGACTTCTTTTGGTTTGATTTTACCTGTACATAAACTAAATGCTACACATTGAAAACATCCAAAAAGGATACATTTTACAGATTAAAAAAAAAAACCATCAAATTTGCTGTGTTAAGTGTAGAAGGATTTTACCAGCATTTTGCTACCAGTTCAGGTTGTTGATAGCAGTAGGGTTTGAAAGTGATGTGGCTGAAATGGCACATGAAGAGCTTACATCAGGTGACTACGTGATAATTCTCAACTTAAACCTCAAAAAGAGCAGAATTTTGAGAGTGTTTATTTATAGATTTTGCTTTGGCTATTGGCAGTCGTGAACAGGTTCTGTCTAGAAACTTGTCTGTTACCATGTTTGCAAGTTTGTTAATGCAGTTGTTTTTTAAACTAGAGAAAATGCTTAAAGTAGGACTACTGGCACTTTCTTTCAGGTTTCGACTACACTTTGAGAAAGAGAGTAAAGAGGAGGTAGAGAGGAGGAAGAAGCTGGCCATGGAGACGGTGCTGCAGCAAGTCTCAGATAAAGAACTTGAAGTCAACATCAATGAAATCTACCCATCAGACAAAGGTTAGATGGATTTTTAATGCTCTCCTAATGGCAGTGCTGCAATAAGCCCAGCACATGAATAGAGTTACTAAAACTTTGGATCGCTGCTTGTCATGCTGAGTTCTGATTATTCGCCTCCAGGTCTTGGCTTCCCACGACGACCATTTTGGACTTATGATATGACCCGAGAGAGCCTGCTGAGGAAAGAGGAGAAGGCCTTCAGAGATTACCTGGAAGACTTGCACTCCAGAAACCCACCTAGCTCTCTTAGCCACTTTGAGCACAATCTGGAGGTACCGCTACTAAAGACTTTGTCTTAATGAAAATGCTCAAGCTTAAAAGTTTTTATTTTTCTTCAATATCTCCTGGAAATCTTTTTTAAAAAATCATCAAAATAAATTAAATGTTTTCATATAGGCACACATGTGGGGTACTTAATGTGACATGATTTTATTTGTAAGCAAATCTGGTTGATCTTATTTAATCAAAATGACATAACTGTTTTAAGCTTGTGGTCCTCCTGGTACTTTCTCTCTACTGATATTACATGAAGCTGTTAAGCTTTTATTTATTGAATGCCAGTTGAACCAGAATGTTCTCTGGTTGAGCTCCTGCTCGCTCTCTTTGACACACTGCTTTAGAGATTTTGGTCCAGGTAACTTAAAACGTCATCCAAACATCTACAGGTGTTAAGTTTAAAATTTCTTTATTAGACCATGTGTCCAACAATTTTAAACATGAAGAAAATCTTTATTTTCAACAACTATTTTGTATATTTACAAACAACACAGCTGTCAGGCTTATATGAAAATTGACTTTAATTTGACCTAAATGCCTTCTCTTAGATCAGTGAAGCCAACAATATGTATCACGTGTCTTAGAAGAACTTTGACATTCCTTATTTATCTTCCTTATTTTCCTTTTTTTATGTTTCCTTTGTTGATGGAAGAAAATGTCTGATATCTTTTAGTTTTTGTGCAGGAATTTTGTTGAGTCTTTTGATATCAGATGACAGCATGAGGTAATGTTGCACATTAATGAGTTCACCTGTAAAGTGATCATTAGCCAGGAGACTTGCTTTCGTCTTGAAGAAATTCAATGCACTTTACGTATAATCACTTGACTACATTGTTTTTGTCTCATATTTACTTTAAAACGTTTTTTCCTCTTGAACTTTATTGCTTATAAAAACAGAAAATGTAACGTCACAAACATTGCTGTTTAATGTTCACATTATACAATTTTTTCCCCTTCTCTCTTTATTTTAGACATGGAGACAACTGTGGAGAGTTTTGGAAATGTCAGATGTCATCCTTCTCATCGTTGACCTCAGGCACCCAGTAAGTGAACGTCATATTGGATCAGGCCAGTAGGTGGAGACACAGTCAATAATATTTAGTACTAAAAGTGGGGGAAATTTGGCTTTATTTATCTGGAACTTTGTTAAATGCCAATCTTTTATGTTTATCCACTTAGAATAAAAGAGAGAGCAAACAGCTCATGCTTGAATTTAAAACAAATTATATAAGTTTTGGGAGTGTCTCTAAACAAAAGGCAAAATTTCAATATTAAATGTAATTCTTATAAACTGTATCATGTAGCCATAACTTATTATTAATACTAATAAGAGGGATATGTTGTTAGTAGTCCAAATATAAGAGAAAAATAAAACAGACTGATGTATTGATGCATTTGGTGACAACAAAATGACGAACATTAAATAAGGATGTTGTACTTGTTGCTTCCGCCTCAAACAAATGACATATTGAGCTTTTCTAGGAGTCAGATTGAGTTTTATAGAGCCCTGACTTACTCGTAGATTTGGTTCTTATAAATTGATTTGCTCTTACATTATAAAAATAAAATTAAATAAAAATTGGCAGCATGACGGCTCAGTGGTTAGCACTGTTGCCTTACAGCAAGAAGGTCCTGAGTTCAACCCCGGTTGGACCTGGGGTCTTTCTGTGTGGAGTTTGCATGTTCTTCTCGTGCTTGCATAGGTTTTCTCCGGGTACTCCGGTTTCCTCCCACAGATCAAAAACATGCATGTTAGGCTGCCTTCAGGCCCAGGCCTCCCTTGCAAAAGAGATCTGTGATCTCAATGGGATTTTCCTGGTTAAATAAAGGTTAATAAATAATAAATAAATAAGTAAGATCATCCCAATATGTAGCTCAACTGTGCTTTTTTTTATATCAGCAGTGTCTCTTTTTATCCTGTTATGCTTTGGCCACAAATTGAGCAGATGTAACTAATAAGAGTGCAGTGATTAGTGTCTGTCAATTTTAATCCCACAGGAACAATGAAACCAATTTTTTGGTTTTGACACACTTCTGAAAGTTAAAATTGGGCCAAGTTATTCTGTCCCTAATAATATTAATAATGACATAATCTAGTGATGAATTTGATGCACAGCTTGTTTATTGTTAGTATGTCTTCCTACAACAACCTAGGTCCTGCAGTTTCCTCCAGATCTGTACCATTACATCACAGGAGAGCTACACAAGCAAGTAATCCTGGTGTTAAACAAAGTTGACCTGAGTCCTCCTCCACTGGTGATTGCCTGGAAACACTACATGACCTCCCAGTTCCCCCACCTGCAAATAGTATGTTTCACTTCCCACCCTGGACAGTCCTACAACACAGGTGAGGATAGGTGGGAGTTGGCAAGAAGCTAGTGGAGGACTAAATGTCACAAATGATTTCAACATAAATGTAAAGTTAAACAGCTGTGCAATCATCCTTTTAAAAACTATTAATTTGTCGTTTGGGTAGTGCTCCAGAAGAGGAGGATGAAGAGGAAGGCTGACTGGAGTCACTCTGGAGGTCTTATAGAAATCTTTAAAGCCTGTCAGGAGATCACAGCAGGGAAAGGTGGGAGAATGAGTTCATGCGCTCTCATTTTTATTTTCATAACCCTGGCATTTACTATAGATTAATGAGCAGCTCTACCTTTGATCTGGTTCCTGAAGTCTTGCATACCATATGTTACTTTTGTCTTTTCACGTCTCAGTTGACCTGTCCAGCTGGGAGCAGAAGATTCAGAGAGATGCTGTTGCAGGGCGACTAGGTGAAGGGCAGTCTGATGAAGGAGCTGAATCTGTGCTGGTGGAACATCAAAGTGATAGTGCTCTGGAGATGAGTAACCCATCAGAAGAGCTCTACAAAGATGGAGTTCTTACACTGGGCTGCATAGGTGAGTTTTATCAGAAAACTTGTTTGCATAAAGTTCCACTTATTTAAAAAAAAGAAGCATTTTTGCCTTCTTGCATATATAAAAAAATTCAGATTTTTTTTAGAATTCTGGCCAAATATTGACTTTTGACATGACAGTGATAAAGGGTTGTGGGTCATTTATTGTTTTTAAAACATTGGTAATGTTTATTAATGCCTAATTTTTTTTCCAGGTTTTCCAAATGTTGGTAAGTCATCAGTTATTAACAGCCTTGTTGGGAGGAAGGTTGTGAGTGTGTCTCGAACTCCAGGCCACACCAAATACTTCCAAACCTACTACCTCACCCCGACAGTTAAACTATGCGACTGCCCTGGACTGGTCTTCCCCTCACGTGTCAATAAGCAGCTGCAGGTAGGACTGGACTTGAGTGCAAACTTTGAGATTACGTGCCAGATTATACCATTAGATATGTTAATTATCAAACGTGCAAAGATGAATCATAACCTTTTATAGATTTTAACTTGGTGTCTTTGAAAAGCTATTCTGGGTTTCCTCTGTGATGGCAGTGTCACCATTTACAATCCTTGGGAGGCTAGTGTAGATTGCTATTTCCAAAATGTTCTGCATTTTATTATTAGACATTTTTAATATATATGTTTTTCCCTAAAGATTCTAGCAGGTATTTACCCAGTGTCCCAGCTGCAAGAGCCATACACATCAGTTGGTTATTTGTGTGAGAGGACTCCATTCCTTTCTGTACTGAAACTCAAACACCCCAGTTTGTTAGAGAAGGAACCACAGCAAGGACACCAGGAGTCCATAGAGCCCAGATGGACTGCTTGGGATGTGTGTGAGGGTAAGAACATATTTATAGCTGTATCGGACATCAGCACTCTGGCATTATTGGTTCTAAATAGCTGTTTACTGTTTTTTGTAACTGTCCTGGTGAACATTTTCTAACATAAATAGGTGATCTAGTAAAAAACAAAATATCATTACAGTGTATAAAATGGCTAGAACATTAAACATCACTCAGTTCATTACTGTCATATTATTTGTGTGTGCATGCATGTGTGTGTGTGATGAACACTAATAATTTGAGCAGGTGCAGTTAGATGCCCTCTGCTTTTCTGTTTAAATGAAGTACTACAGTTAAGTGTTACAAATGAATAAACTATAATAACATTTCCTTCCTGAGGCACTGCTCATTACTGTATAGGTTTATTTTTGTAATTAATCTTGTAGTGGCAATAAATGACACTAAGACAAACAAACTCTCCTTTTCTTTCTAACAGTGTCACAAGTTGCTGCTGTTCCTTGTAACTCTTATTAAAATACTTAATCTCGCTTTGTGTTCTTCAGCTTGGGCGGAAAGACGAGGCTATAAAACAGCTAAAGCCGCCCGCAATGATGTTTACCGTGCAGCAAACAGTCTACTGAGGTTGGCCATTGATGGCAGATTGTGCCTCTGTCTCAGACCACCTGGCTACAGCTGTCTGAGAGGTAAGAGGGTCTTCTCCACCTCTTCTCAAGTAACTCTTCAAGCGCATTTCAAATGTTTGAGTTCGAATGTCTTGTGGATAATTTATTTTGAGGATTATTTATGGTCCACAGAGCACTGGGAAAATCACCCGGACTTGCCAGAGATTATGGCACTTCAAGGAAGAGCAACAGAGGAGGAAGGAACCGACGAGAAGGAAGATGAAGAGGATGGAGAGTCCAGCAGCGAGCCAGAAGAGGAGAGAGACCGGGATGCAGATGACGACGAAGATGGAGACGACGAGGATGAGGGGTTTGGACATAAAAAACAGGGAGATGAAAAGCCATCTGGCTTTTCTGTCAACATGTACAATGTACTCCGGGAAAACGAGTGTGCGTAAAAAAAAAAAAAAAGAAAGAAAAGATGAAAGCAGAATTAATGAATCATTTCTCTTTCCTGTCTGCTTCAGTGCACTTTTCATTCCCCGGTTTTCTTAAAACTGCGTTCCTTCTCAGGTTTTCTTGAGTCTCCACTCCTCGTGTCTCTGCAATGTTCTCACTCATTCACCCATTCATTCCCTCCTCCCCACAACGTGCAGAGCATATTTATGCATTCCATGCTGTGCCTCTGCTCTGCTTGTTCATCCCCAAATCTCAATCTTTATTCTTGCTTCTATGAAATGATTTGGTTTTATTTTGCATGTAGCCATTAGTGATGAATACATTTTGCTGAGCCTGCAACGATCAACTGGTTTTCAATCTCGATTAGAAAGTGCCCTCATAACTGAAATGCCAAAGTTCAGAGATGATAATAAAACCAGTCAGGTACACCATTGATAGTTCATTGAAGATGCTTTTGGCTCCAAGATAAGCTTAGAAGATTGATAAACTAAATCTTTCTAGACTATAACATTTGATTTGTGGGTGCAGAATGGGATTTTGAAGATATTGGGCCATAAAACTAGAACGAACATTTCAAACATCTGTAAAATATATTGGTTGTGTCAGGAATCATTCATTTGAACTTGGTTTTGGTTTAGATTGTATTTTATGTAAAAATTAAAATTGCATTTGGTTGAATTGTTGAAAGTCGTACTGAATGCAGCTATTCCAGGATTTTAACTTGTAGTGTTTTAACTACTACAACTGTCCTCAGGTTGATAGTTTTCAGTACTTGGCGCATGAGTTTGATGCACTTGTACAACATATTTGTATGCAAATGGAAGCACGGGGCCTTTGAATGAATAAAAACTGCTTTAAAAAAACAGTTCAGGAGATATTTTAATGATCATCAAAACAGTTGCTGCTATCTTTTCGAGATGTTTAGCACAAAGATTAAAAACAGCTAGACTTATTGTATTAACTGCTAAACAAGAAACTGCAACATTAAATATGCAGCGTTCAAAACCTAAATGTAAGCTGCTAAGATTTAGTTTAAAGGTGAGTCACAGCTTAAATATGTTTAATAAAACGGGTTTTTAGAGCGGTTTCTTTCATTTTACTTTTGTATGTGTAAATCTACCCATTTCTTTTTGTTTGCAGTCTGTGTTTAGTTTAATCGACTGCTAGCTGCATCCATCAGAGCAACCACTCAAGGAACCAAGAAAATATTTTGAATAATTTGTTAATTTGTCCCTAAAATACTCTGAAAAATAAATTAATCACCGCAGATTCTCTCGTCCATGGCTATAATAAAACTTCATACCTCAGAAATGACATAAAACAACATTTCTGCTGTTTGCCCAATCGGTTCTGTTCTGGCGTGTGATGACGTTGCTGAAAACCTGAGTGCTGTGTTGTTATAGGTGTGCTGTTGTTACTCATCTAGCGCAGTGCTGTGTTACCATGTAATACACCACAAAACAGCCATTGTACAGTCATTTGTACTATGAGTACAGTGAAAGCAAATACTTAACACCACCATGCTGTTAGAAACACTGTTGTTTGCTTTTTCCTGAAAATGTGAGAATAATCTGGAGAGTGCAGTGTGGGTGGAAAGGTTCGAGGTGTGTTCAGGCTGTTTTCTGCATTCCTCTTTTCATTCCTAGTACGCCTTCTGATGACTGCTTTATGCAATTAAAAAAAGAAAACCATCCAAACCTGACTGATCTGTGTGTGTGTTCACCCACACATCATGTTAATTTAAAAAACACATAATTAAGCTTGTCTTTTATTGTCTCAACAAAACATTGAAGGAGCTCCGAAATTAGCAGAAACCCTTTGCTATTACTATAATTTGTGAAAGTAATGTAAAACATTTGCTATATGGTTTAAGTTTTTTTATTACGTTTTTATGGTTTCATCAGATAAATAATTATTAAAGCTAGCCCTACTGATGTGAACAAGCGGTGCTCCACTCAGATCTAATTAAATCCTCCCCAGATCACATCTGTATTAAATTTCCCTAAGGACTATCCTGAAAGCAGATCATTTAAATGTGTATAAAATGTACTCGACCACAAAATCAAGGCATCGGATCCTGTCGACAGATTCATACGCTCATCCAGTATTTTCTTGGCAGTGGAGTGACTTTAATTACATGTCAATGATTAGTTTAATGTAAATGATTTTCACCGTTGTGGTGAAACTTTTCCACAGGGTTTTATTATTCATCCATGTTTCCAACTTGTTCTGTTTAAGGTCACAGAATGGGTTGGACCTGCCCATGATGAACCCTGCTTCTTGCCATACTTTGTCTCAAAAGTATTATTTTAATACATATAAAATACTAAAAATATATATTTTAAAGGAAATTAGCCCTTGTGATAGCCATTCTTGTGTACTGTTAGAATATTTTTTTCTCCAAATGGGTGTTTTCCAGTTGTAGCTGGTTGAACTTGAGCTAAAAACATTGAATTCAGATGTGCTTTAAACTCCAGAAAGATTTTATCTGTGTTTTATTGTCTCCATCATCAGTTCAAGGTTTAATTTGTGAAATTTTTAGAATACCAAGAAGTCCTTTGAACAGTTTTCATGGTTCTAGTACATCTTGATATTGTGGGCTAATCTTTTGCAACTTGTAAAAGACAAAGCACAATATAAAATGGTATGAAATTGTATGAAAACAAAATCTCTTAAAAGCGCTTAAGATAAAATTCTGGTATGTAAATTGAGAACTGTGTATAATGCTTGCAAACATGCTGGATTGAATTATATTCATCTTGCAATATATAAATCTTTCACAAATTGACTTTATTTGCAGCAGGGGTTTTCCTGTTTTGCATATAATTCAGGCTAGTATAGTTCATATCCTCTGAAGTTATGCTTTAAATCTGAATAACTCCTGGCAGCACAGCGTGATGGAATGAGTCACCAGGTTCAGAAAGGTTCAGAGGATCCAAACAGCATGTTGCAAACTAGAGGGTCATGTTTGAAGATTTGTGAATTTCATTAAAAAATAAAAACCTGGGAGCAATGCTCGTATGTGATTTCCCTTTTCCAGGCGTCTCCTGACGAAAGAAGAGAATCAACACTTCCTGTTTAAAGATGCTGCCCTGGAACACGCTGTGAGTCCGCTTTTTATTGGAACGATGGTTGTTTTCAAGACACTTTCAACGTCCATTTTTCATTATGTGTTTGTTACAAGACTACTTTTAAAACAGAAAAAAAAAATTGGTGAAAGAGAACGGGTTAAATAAAACAATACACCACTCCTGCCTACATTTCCAGCCTATATTTTGTAGTAATCTGAGCTAAGAAATACCTACATTTTGATGTATGCACTGTATTAGAGGTGTAAAGAAGACCAAAAGAAATGTAAAGCTCCTGGCAGTATGGTCACCGTGGCAACTACACTTGATTTTGTCACTCCCTGACTGCCGAGTTAACGAGAGGCAGACAAAAACACACAAAAACAAATAAGCGTCAAACGGTTGCCAATCAAAAGGTATGAGAAAGATCTTCATTCAAACTTTATTTATGCAGGTTAGTCCCATTGAGCCTCGAGGACTCTGATTTTAACAATGAGCAATGACAACAGTACAGTAGACAATCATAAAATAAAGCATACAAATTGAGAACAAATTAAGGAAAATTTGTATTAAAAAAACGAAACAAAAACAACTTGAAAATCATTTAATCATTAGTAATTTAATTGTGAGCGGCAGAAACTAGTTTTTATATTTCTGCGTGCTCTATAGGAAATATGACGAGTGAAAAGGCCCACTTCCTGTTTTGAGGAGAATATTTTGAGTCCGTGGAAGCTTAGTGTCCACACTACACTCAGGGCTATTTGAGAAAACTTGCAGCAGCAACGGGTGAGAGAAGATGAATATCCAGACATTTTGATGTGTAATTTTTAATAGTTTTAATCATAAAAAGGTGATTTTGGTCATCTCAAAAGTTAGTGAGTGACATCAGCGGTCACTTGAACATTTTATGTAAACAAAAGCCATAAAAAAACTTTAAAGTGCAATTGTATATAAAATATGAAAGATATCAAAATGCCAGTTCAGATGTGTGAAGTCCAACGTTCTGTGACCCATTTAAAGTTTGACTGATGTTTCTATGTGGAATAAGCTTGAAACGTGGAGCTCCAAAGTGGGATGTGTTTTTTGTCTCGTTTCACAAAAGTCCCATTAATCTCCATTGTTTTTCTCACAGTTCTTTGAATTTTGTCTATGCTGTGACATACCTTTACCAAAATCTTAGCACACGAGTCCTAATCGAGCTCATGTTTTGCTGTATAACTTACATGTTTATTTTTTTCTCAATGCTTAGCCTCAAATGTTGTTTTAACAGAATAGAGCTTCAGTGTTTATGAACTGGCTTTAAATCATTAAGTCCACTGCATGGCTGCTTTTACAAGCACGTGGAGCAAATTATCACCTTTCACAACTTCTAGTAATGTTGTTTCCATAATTGCCAGATAAAAATTTAAAGAATTCCCTCAAATTTATGTCCCATTTGTGCACTGCCTGTCACTGTCGTCACGTTTATGATGGGGTTTGCCAGTATTTCTGCTTCTGACGCCTCTCCAGCCCTCTTGTCAAAGAGAATCTGGCTGCAGCTCGTTATCTCATTAAGTTTACTGTGACCCATTGTTCATGAACAAGATGAGACGGTGTGATTACTATCACTCCTGAGCACAGCTATAATCATTATTTACAGACTGAGGTGGGTGGGAAGTCCCTCATTTAGCATCATTTGGACTCTGTGTCAACTTGTATGCCACTCAAAGCAGTTGACTTGTTCAATGAACTCTGATAGGAGGAAGTGAGGAGACACATGGAGCTGTTTCCAATCTGCCTAATTTCCCCACTCATCGTTCTGACTAACTGTGGCCCCTCAGACCTGTGTAGCTGTAATTACAGTCAGAGACCCCAGATTTACTGGAGCACGACGCCGTAAATTTTACAACTGTTAATTAAATTCTGCTGTGTTGAATGTCTTTACTGCCAGCGTCGGCCACAACAGTAATACTC